GGCCTGTCCCTGTGCTCCTCGGAGTCCCAGGACTACATAAAGTTACAGTTGACAGTGAATAAAGCATCTGTACAAAGTTCTTGGTGAATAAGCCTCTGAACTCAGATCTGGATCCTGAACCTTTCACCAACCCTCCTGCTGCTGAGTCACTGATGCTGCCGTCAGCAGGTACTGTCACTGATGCTGCCGTCAGCAGGTACTGTCACTGATGCTGCCGTCAGCAGGTACTGTCACTGATGCTGCCGTCAGCAGGTACTGTCACTGATGCTGCCGTCAGCAGGTACTGTCACTGATGCTGCCGTCAGCAGGTGCTGTCACTGATGCTGCCGTCAGCAGGTGCTGTCACTGATGCTGCCCGTCAGCAGGTACTGTCACTGATGCTGCCGTCAGCAGGTACTGTCACTGATGCTGCCGTCAGCAGGTACTGTCACTGATGCTGCCGTCAGCAGGTACTGTCACTGATGCTGCCGTCAGCAGGTACTGTCACTGATGCTGCCGTCAGCAGGTACTGTCACTGATGCTGCCGTCAGCAGGTGCTGTCACTGATGCTGCCGTCAGCAGGTGCTGTCACTGATGCTGCCGTCAGCAGGTGCTGTCACTGATGCTGCCGTCAGCAGGTACTGTCACTGATGCTGCCGTCAGCAGGTACTGTCACTGATGCTGCCGTCAGCAGGTACTGTCACTGATGCTGCCGTCAGCAGGTACTGTCACTGATGCTGCCGTCAGCAGGTGCTGTCACTGATGCTGCCGTCAGCAGGTACTGTCACTGATGCTGCCGTCAGCAGGTGCTGTCACTGATGCTGCCGTCAGCAGGTACTGTCACTGATGCTGCCGTCAGCAGGTACTGTCACTGATGCTGCCGTCAGCAGGTGCTGTCACTGATGCTGCCGTCAGCAGGTACTGTCACTGATGCTGCCGTCAGCAGGTGCTGTCACTGATGCTGCCGTCAGCAGGTGCTGTCACTGATGCTGCCGTCAGCAGGTACTGTCACTGATGCTGCCGTCAGCAGGTACTGTCACTGATGCTGCCGTCAGCAGGTACTGTCACTGATGCTGCCGTCAGCAGGTGCTGTCACTGATGCTGCCGTCAGCAGGTACTGTCACTGATGCTGCCGTCAGCAGGTGCTGTCACTGATGCTGCCGTCAGCAGGTACTGTCACTGATGCTGCCGTCAGCAGGTACTGTCACTGATGCTGCCGTCAGCAGGTGCTGTCACTGATGCTGCCGTCAGCAGGTACTGTCACTGATGCTGCCGTCAGCAGGTGCTGTCACTGATGCTGCCGTCAGCAGGTGCTGTCACTGATGCTGCCGTCAGCAGGTCCTGTCACTGATGCTGCCGTCAGCAGGTACTGTCACTGATGCTGCCGTCAGCAGGTACTGTCACTGATGCTGCCGTCAGCAGGTGCTGTCACTGATGCTGCCGTCAGCAGGTACTGTCACTGATGCTGCCGTCAGCAGGTACTGTCACTGATGCTGCCGTCAGCAGGTGCTGTCACTGATGCTGCCGTCAGCAGGTACTGTCACTGCTGATTTCAATCATGTTTCTGTTTCATCAGGGTCAAAAACATCAGTGTTTCTCTCACGGCTGCACCACATCAATGCTTCTTCCTCAACACAGGAAGCCCCCCCCCCCCCCCCCCCCCCCCTCAGTCAGCTGCAGGGGGACAATCGCAGGCTGTCTCCTGGACCCTCCCCTCCTCCCCCCTCTCTCTCACACATGCACAGAACACAGAGTCCATCTGACCCCTCCTCATGTGCAATGAACCAGAGAATAACTCCATCTAAAGACCCGGTCCTCATAGACCCGGTCGGAAGACTCACCTGTCCCAGTGTGGTCCCAGTGTGGTCCCAGTGTGGTCCCAGCGTGGTCCCTGTCCCAGTGTGGTCCCAGTGTGGTCCCAGTGTGGTCCCAGCGTGGTCCCTGTCCCAGTGTGGTCCCAGTGTGGTCCCAGTGTGGTCCCAGCGTGGTCCCTGTCCCAGCGTGGTCCCAGTGTGTTCCCAGCGTGGTCCCTGTCCCAGCGTGGTCCCTGTCCCAGCGAGGTCCCTGTCCCAGCGTGGTCCCTGTCCCAGCGAGGTCCCTGTCCCAGCGTGGTCCCTGTCCCAGTGTGGTCTCAGTCCCAGTGCGGTCCCAGTGTGGTCCCTGTCCCAGTGTGGTCCTGTCCCAGTGTGGTCTCAGTCCCAGTGTGGTCCCTGTCCTAGTGTAAGTCCCACAGGTCTGTCATCCAGCCAACTTCAGCCCCATATGCATCACCCATAATCAGAACCAGTGAGAACAGGATCCATGGTGTCTGGAGTCTTCCTGGTACTAAGTCTGGACACCCCTGGTTTATACCATGGTCACTGATAACTGTCTTTGCCTCTGGAACTACACCTGCAGCTGAAGAGCCAGATCCTGACAGACCTTTGCTGCTAAGCCGGGCCGGGCCTGGATAATACTGTGATGGGAGACCTCTGGTAACACCAGGTGCCACAGTGGGGCGGCTGCGGCTGTGAAGAGACTTCCCCCACATTAGAATGAGTCTGGTGTGTGGGTGAATGGTTGGTGGTGGTGGGAGGGGCCGATGGCACAGACTGGCTGCCTCGACCCCGGCCAGTGTGCCCCAGGGCAGCTGTGGCTCCAGTTGTAGTTTTTCACAGCTGTGTATGGAGTAAATGGACAATGACAAGTCCAATAAAAGCGCTGTAAAAACCAATGCATTAAAACAAGTTTGTCATTTTATGAAAATAGGACTGGTCTCTCTCTCTGGTCTCTCTCTGGTCTCTCTCTGGTCTCTCTCTGGTCTCTCTCTGGTCTCTCTCTGGTCTCTCTCTGGTCTCTCTCTGGTCTCTCTCTGGTCTCTCTCTGGTCTCTCTCTGGTCTCTCTCTGGTCTCTCTCTGGTCTCTCTCTGGTCTCTCTCTGGTCTCTCTCTGGTCTCTCTCTGGTCTCTCTCTGGTCTCTCTCTCTGGTCTCTCTCTCTGGTCTCTCTCTCTGGTCTCTCTGAACCAAAGAGAGAAACCAGGAAGAGATTCTCCCATTTAATATCCTACTGGGCGGCATGGTGGCTGAGTGGATAGCACTCTCACTTCTCAGCAAGAAGGTCCATGGGTTTGAATCCCCGTTGGAACAGGGCCTTTCTGAGTGGAGTTTGCATGTTCTCCCTGTGTCTGCGTAGGTTTCCTCCGGTTTCCCCTACCACTAAAAACATGCACAATGGGCCTCATGTATGTGTGTAAATGTGTACGCTCATTTCACCCTTCGTCCCAACACGCCAAAACATGCATGAAATTCAAGATTTTGACAACAATAAAAATATTCCCACTCTGCCAAAATAATAAGCTGTGTTTTCATTGGGCATCATGTTTCTAAATCTGACATGTGTGTTATTTTCAACTGTATGTCTGTGCTTTGTGATCCTGGTCTATGAAAGGCGCTAAATACACTTGAGTGAATAATCTGGACGCCCTGCGTGCGCTGGGTAAGTACACATTTGTTTTTCCTCATTCACTGCTGGCAAAGCAATGTGTGTTTTCCTTAGTTTAGTGCATGAAGCTTCATAAACGCAGTGATGGTCTCACTCAAAACTTTCAGAGAAACTGCGCTGTACTCTGCATGCAGCATTTTATAGATGAGATGCACACGTCTGTAAGAACGGTCTCACGGCAGTGGCTCTGGGGCAGCAGGTGCCAGGAGAGGGCCCACCGCAACACTGCTCAGATCCAGAGATTCTCTGTAAAATCACGGACGCGGAGATATTAATATTCATTCATTAATTCAATCACTCACTTTTTACATATATATATATATATATTATATATAATATATATACATATATATTATATATATAGATATATATATATATATATCTATATATTTCTTTATTATATACCTACGCTATATTATTTAAAAAATAGCATATATTTCTTCTTTCTTTCTTCTTTCTTCTGATGCTTCCAGTCTTCCTGGCTGAGTTCCGTGCTGACACATCGTAAAAACAGGGCGTGGAACTGACGGTTTCTGAATATTTCTAGAAGTGACTTTCATTAATACGATAGTTTTCACCGCGCCATTTATCAAAAGCCGCGGCTGCGTACGCTCAGATATGTGCGTATCTCACACGCTCATAACTCACGTTGAGTCTGCCGTAAATAGAATATACACCAAAAATATACACCCTTTTCTGCGCAAGATTCATACATGAGGCCAATAGGTGTGAATGTAAATGAGAGAGTGAATGGATGGTGTTGGGTCAGAGGCTTTGATGGTCCAGTGTGTTCTGGACTCGCTTCTGTCATCACCGTGTGTGGAAGGATTGGAACAATGTAGGAAGGAGCGCTACCGCAGGGCCTTTATCCCCACCGCTGTCAGACTGTACAATAAGTCACTTTAAATGATCACTGTGTGAAAACCTGCACTACTATTGACACTGTTTCCAATTGACACTTGTCACTTTTGTTGTACATAATTATTGTACATATATCCTGCATGTAACATGTAACACATTTCCTCCCTTTGCACAATCTGAGTGTCTCTATCCATGCCAAATGTGACATGTACATTTCTCCTCTGTGAGATAAATAAAGTAATCTTATCTTATCTTATCTCTTAATATTTGACTCTGAACTTTGTGAAGTGCTTTGGGTCTGACCTTGGTCTGTAAAATGCGCTAAATAAACATTACTTACTTACTGGCGTCATGGTGGCGCAGTAGTCTGACGTCGTGTTCCTCGGTAAGAAGGTCCTGGGTTCAAATCTCGTTTGGAACAGGGCCTTTCTGTGTGGAGTTTGCATGCTCTCCCTATGTCTGCGAAGCACCCCTTCCTATTACTAAATACATGCATGTACAATCAGTCAGAATGTAATGAGTGGAGGGTGTTTGGTCGGAGGCTTTGATGGTCCAGTGTGTTCTGGTCTCGCTTCCGTCATCACCGTGTGGAGAGAATAATCTCTGACCTCTGTAAACACTTTGGGTGACCTAGGTCTGTAAAAATGCGCTATATAAATAAACATTACTTACTTATTAAAATGTAGTTTATGCAATAACTACATGTAACACGATTCAAAACCACACTTTATACATTTGTAGAGAAAATAGAAATTAAATGATAATTCTTAATCCTGTGTTAATCCTGTGGTGAGCTGTAGCATACCTGCAGGTGGGAGCCAGATCCCGACAGATCTCTGAAGCTAAGCAGGGCAGGGCCTGGTCAGTATAGTGATGGGAGACCTCTGGGAACACCAGGTTCCACAGTGGGGCGGCTACGGCTGTGAAGTGTCACACTGTGGTTGTGTCCTTAGGCAAGACACTTAAGTTCCCACATATGAGAATAAGTCTTCTGTGTCTGGTTGCCTTGCATCTTTCAGTATGCCCCAGGGCAGCTGCGGCTACAGTAGTTGTTAAATGCCTCCGTGTTTAGAGTGAAAGAATGAGAAGAGTGTGAGTGTCCAGAAAAGTGCTGAGTTGTTAATATATACAGTCTATGTGCAAAACTGATGCATTTTATTATGTGCAGGTCTGGACAGCGGCGCAGACAGGAGCAGGTCCAGACGAGCCGCTTTCATGCAAACTCGGAATTTCCAACCTCCCATTCCGAAAATTGGGAAGGAAATCAAACCGGAAAATCAACTGACCGTCACTGAGTCATGGACGAAAGAACAGAGACAGAGTGAGAGGGTTTTACTGCATAATGAACATGTTTAAGCCAAATATCTGTTTAAAATGATTTGTGAATTTAAAACACAAAGGAACAGAAATATCCAACATTGTTTCTGTCTCTCAGACCACAGCAGTGAGGGTTCTGTGCCTTTTTCATGAACAAGGAACAGATCAGAAAAATGTCTGTACATGTTTGTTGTTGTCACTGTGTGTGTCTGTGTGTAGCTTCTCATGAAGTTTCCGAGTTGGCATGAAGGCAGCGGTCAATGATTACGTGTTACAGGATCCTCGAGTCTCTGGCCTGCGTCATGGGTCAGTGTGTGTTAGTACATGTACCTGTGGTCAGTACCTGGGGACCGGAGTGGAGGGGAGGGTCAGTACCTCGGGTCCAGAGTGAAGGGGAGGGTCAGTACCTGGGGTCCAGTGTGGGGGTGAGGAGGTGAGGGAGGCGTGTGCAGCAGAGCGGACAGAACCCGGTTTAATGTGTTAGACCCACGCGGACATTCACCGTGTGCAGAGGTGGGCAGTGCATGCTTCATTTACAGATTTATTTTAGTATAGAGTTATTTTGTCATTTATCTCCTCGTTCCTGCTGTTGTGTAACTGCTGATGCAACACTGACATTTCCTCACTGTGGGACCAGTCACGGATCTTTAGCCTGAGCAGAGATTTTCACGTCATGCACCTGTCGTGACTTTAATAAATGACTTCTCATTTCTATGACTTTTGTAGCACATTTGTAAAGTGGCAAAAAAACAATCTTAAAAAGGAATTCAATGTAAAAAAGTCAACGTCTTCTTGACGTTATAAGCTTTTAAGGTTCTTTTAATAAGACAAAGACAGCTGCCACATGGGACTCCCTTCTCCAGTGTGGAGGGATCTGAGGGGCGTGGTTTGTCTGAAAGGGGCGTAGTCAGTCTGAGGGGCGTGGTTGGTCTCAGGGATCTGAGGGCGTGGAAAGTTCTGAAAGGGGCGTGGTCAGTCTGAAGGGCGTAGTCTGAAAGGGGCGTGGTCAGTCTGAGGAGTACACCAGAGTCTGGAAGCAGCTGATAAGATTCAACAGAACTCGCTCCTTTGGTCTTATTAAAAGAACCTCATGAAGCTTCATCTTAAAAAGCTTTAATGTTTTCCCAGAGTTTGAATCTGAAAATCTTCTAGTTTCAGAATCATTTTTATTGCCACGTAAGTAACAGGAAGTCACAGACTTGGAAATTGTTTTGGCTCAGTGCAACAGTCAGAAGTTTCTGATTGTGGTGAATCCAGCTCCGTCTGTGAAACTGGAACAAACACGAACCATCTTTTGGCTCGAATGCGGTGCTAATGTCGACCACGGAGCAACGGCCGCTTCCTTTATCTAAATCTGTGTCGTCCTGGGGTCAAAATGACTAATTTCTGTCTGATAAGTCTTATTCACCGGCTCAGGGACTGCAGGTGGATTAGCTCTCTGGCTACAAAGCATCTCTTATTTTACCTGCTTATTGAACCCCAAGAAAAATCATAATCATAACTCTCAACGTGATTAAAAGTATTTGTTTGGAGGGTCTAGAAGAGTCTATATGAACAGAGTTAACCGTTTGACAAAGCCAAATAAAACCATTAATTTATTTAAAACTCAAGAGAAACAGATTATAGCTTTAGGCACCAGAGGCTTTAGAAACTTTTGAAAATGTTCAGATATAATCTTTTAGTCACTGGTCCTGGTTCATGACAGGGGTGATGTGTTCTAAATATAAGCCACAAATAGATACATCCTGAACTCACGACTGAAGTGAGGGACCAGTGAGAGAGACCAGAGAGAGAGAGCAGAGAGAGAGAGCAGAGAGACCAGTGAGAGAGACCAGAGAGAGAGAGCAGAGAGACCAGTGAGAGAGACCAGAGAGAGACCAGAGAGAGAGACCAGAAAGAGACCAGAGAGAGAGAGCAGAGAGACCAGTGAGAGAGACCAGAGAGAGAGACCAGAAAGAGACCAGAAAGAGACCAGAGAGAGACCAGAGAGAGAGAGCAGAGAGACCAGTGAGAGAGCAGAGAGAGAGACCAGAGAGAGAGAGCAGAGAGACCAGTGAGAGAGACCAGAGAGAGAGAGCAGAGAGACCAGAGAGAGACCCAGTGTTGCCAAGTTGGCGACTTTGTCGCTAGATTTAGCGACTTTTTTTCAAAAAAGCGACTAGCGACAGATCTAGACAAAGCATTAAAATCATTAAATGTTGTTAATGTTGAAATTATTTGTGTACATTTGTAGTTCTAAACATATTTAGGGTGTTTTTTACTCACTTTTGTCTCTCCCACGACCTTATTCCTCTCTCCTACAGCGTCCGTTACAGTTATTTGCAAATAGCCAATTATGCAAATTAGGCGATGACGTCATTTAGCGACTTCTAGCGACTTTTGGGACAGCCAATAGCTACTTTCCTTACTGAGGAGTTGGCAACACTGGAGAGACCAGTGAGAGTTCAGAGTCCCCTGAACGACTCACTGTGACGCACACGAGCCACATTGTCTTCTGTTAAATAAAGGTAACTCATGTTAATCTCACGGTTTTAAGTTGTTCATGACGTTTGATTGAAACGCGGAGTAAGTTTTAAATGAAAGTGTTTTTATAGAATAGCTTACACGTTTGACTCTACCCACCTCTGATGAAACTGTTAACACAAGACAAACTCCAGCAAGTTAGTAAAATTCTTACTAAGAATGTTTATTAAAATAAATGCCAAGAGGTTAATAAGAAAAACAAAATAACAGCATACACAATGAAAACTAAATGCAAGCATGTAAAAATACTTATGACAAGAAAACTAAGTCGCTAATGAGTTAAACAAGCTGGGCAAGAGAAAAAAATTAATCAAAATAATTGAACAGGGAAAAGGCAAAACCCATGTAGAGAGACAGGTCAGATGAGAGCGGGCAGAGAGAAGGAGATTTATTTAAAAAAGCACTCAGGAAACATGATTTTAATATACATATAAAATGAGATTAGAAAAATACATTATAAACCTGTAACAATGGCTGTTAATTACATTATGATACATGTAGTAGGCAGGCCCGTGAGAGGACAGGAGGCCCCTATCCCGACACAGCACAGAGATCTCTCGTCTAATACTGTGAGGCGCCCCATCAGCCGTCTCGCGCTTAATATTGCATTTCATTTTCAAAATAACACTGAAGAGAGTAAAGTCAAAACAAAACAACGATTCAGAACTCATTGACCTTTCGTAGTAATAGCGAGATGAAGGAGCGAAGGATTCAGGAGCAGACTGCCAAGGCAACGACGTCTGAGGGACTATTTCTGCTCGTGTCTAAAGAGATTTGGGAATAGCAGGATTATGGCCAATTTCAAATCAGACTTTCAGTTCATTCCAAGTGCGTTGGGACGTCCTTCGACCTCTACTCAATTGCAGAAGACAAGGAAGCGTGAGGAAGGAGGCATTCGGGGTGAATTTGGATGCAGCTCGGTGTGCGGGAGTGGGTTAGCTAGCTCACGTTAGCTCTGTGTTAGCATCAAAACGTCAGGGGTTTAAAACATAAATAGACAAGTGATAAAAACGTCTGTGTTGGTGTCTCAAAGCTAATGCTAACGCTGTAGAATGTTATGGAATCCCATCTGTGCACAGACCAATAAGAAAGCTTTGTTTATTTGGCTGTGAAGGATATTTCTGATGTTTAGCATTAGCATAGAGACACGTTAGCACCCAGATAAAATTGTCAGTAACGTGGAGTACTTTCCTCTCAAAGTTAGTCATTTATATCCACCAGAAACTAATTTAAGACTAGAAAGAGAGAGACCAGAGAAGAGAGATTAGAGAGAAAGAAAGCAGGGAGAGACCAGAGAGAAAAAAAGCAAGAGAGACAGAGAGAGAGAGAACGGAACCAGAGAAACAAAGAGAGACCAGAGAGAGACCCGGATCAGACTCGGTCGTGCCAAGTCCGTCCCAGTTCCGACATGTTTTCCACCTTCTGTGACTTTGTTTTGCTTTATCTCGGGTTTACTCCAAGAAAAGACACGACAACATGAATTGGTGAAGTGAAATGCTGTTGAGGGTTTCGCAGCCGCAGAAAGCCGTAATGAGATCCTTTGGGAAACTCAAATTTGGGGAATGACAGGTAGTGATGCTAACACACAGAGAAGAGAGAGCTGGAAAGACTTGGTCCCTGCTCATCTCTACGGGGTCCGCAGACTTCTGTTACTGGCAGCTCCGCTTTTGTTCTTGGAAGTCGCTTCACAGTCACAGAATCAGGACAATATTTAAATGATTGCTTCAAATAAAAGTAACAGAATCCTAAAAACCTGCCCACACAGCAGAGTAAAGGGCCGTCGAGGAAAACAAACTCATTTTGTAGGAAGACAAAACCATGGCACATAGTTAGCTGGTCGTAAAAGACTGCTATTCTTTTGCATAGAGTAACTGCGGTAACACCCCGTGAACAGCAGGGGGCAGCCCGGAGCAGGCGTGGGACCGCGCACAGTCTCCCACAGTCACGGTGGCCTCGGTCAGAAAGTTGGCGGGGGAAAGGAAATATTGCGATAAAAGTGGTTTTGTGGAGGTTTGAAAGAGGAGCGACTTGGAGAAGTTTAAGTCAGAGTTCATTTGCAAAAACAGATGAGAAGCTTCCGGTATTTTTCTGATGTAAATTTGAATTTTACTAAGTTTTGAGAAAAGCGTGATCGGGTTCCGTGCCATAAAATTACAATTTACCCCGTCATAAGCAATAACCAACAACAATACATGACAGTAACATGTTTTGATAAAGGCAGAGATTAGAGAGACCAGAGAGAGACCAGAGAGAGACCAGAGAGAGACCAGAGAGAGACCAGAGAGAGACCAGAGATAGACCAGAGACAGACCAGAGACAGACCAGAGAGAGACCAGAGAGAGACCAGAGGGATAGAGACAATAGAGAGGAATACAACTTTTTGACGGAGAAATGTGTTTTTGCAAATGAACTCTGTATAATAATAACAATGGTATGATTCCCACAGATATGACTCGTAACTTCAGCGACATCTGAGACCGAGACCCGGGGAAGTCCTGCACCTTTAATACCACCGTCAACACATGGACCTATTACACAAGTGGTTTCCATGGTGGCTCTGTTTGCATAACGTGTCGTGGTCCTGGAGTACGGCGGCGTGTGGCGGTCCCACCCCGACCCCGGACCGGCCCCAGACCGGCCCCGTGCTCACGCCAGCCTCAGCTTTGGGAGGGAGCGGTGTCACTGAACACAACTGGAATAGTCAGGAAACAAAACCACTGGAGATAAGGCACTTTTTAGTTTATCCTCTCTGAGCAAACCGTCCAATCAGGCTCCGACGTCTGCTCTTCCCGTCCAATCATTACGGACTCACACACTTCTTTGACCGTCTGTCGCTTCTACACTTTGCTTTCTTTTTTTATTGGGTTTTTCAGGTTTTCTAACTTCAAGTCAAGTATCAAAAGCTAAAATTGGCAAAAATAGATTCTGGATTTCTTCTCCCCAGCACCCTGTAAAATTAACTCTTTTGATCTCTTTTGTATTTGCAATGACAGTTATCTACATTTGTATATATTTATAGATATTTATAATATATATAATACGTATGTATAAAGCAATTTTGAACAGGCAGGCATGGCTTTCACATCCTATTTTTTCTTGAGAGAGTTGAACAGAAAGGTGGGCTCAGCGTGACACATTGTGGATGCGCACGTTGGAAGGACTTTCAAATCACCGTCACGAAAACGGATCAAACGTTTCACAGAGCGACAGTGGCTAGTTTCACAGAGCGACAGTGGCTAGTTTCACAGAGCGACAGTGGCTAGTTTCACAGAGCGACAGTGGCTAGTTTCACAGAGCGACAGTGGCTAGTTTCACAGAGCGACAGTGGCTAGTTTCACAGAGCGACAGTGGCTAGTTTCACAGAGCGACAGTGGCTAGTTTCACAGAGCGACAGTGGCTAGTTTCACAGAGCGACAGTGGCTAGTTTCACAGAGCAGAGGCTTCTCTCAGAGTTCAAGCTCAATGGACGATTAACCTCGAAGCGCGACATCACATCAGTGACATGCAACAGCTTCAGTACGATGCAGCTGCTTCACCAGAGTCAGTGTCTAAAGGATAAAACCAACAAAGACTTTTCAAAATATACCAGATTTAAATCATGTTACACTTATCAAATAAGTGAATTATTCTAGCTAAGGTACCTAAAAAAACATACATTTCTAGCATTAACAACACAATTTTGCAGCTGTAGAAGAGTCATCACTGAAGCCGACTGTAAATCTCAGTGTGTTTAAAATCCAACAAGAGTAACTTTGTTGTTATTGGGTGAAACATTGGGGTTAGCATTAGCGCAGTTATATTTCTCATTAAAAACAGAAATGGCCTTTTTTTAAACGCTGACATCATAGCAAAGATCTTAACACGCTGCTTGTCATTCGTACTGTAACAGTCTGTCTATAATATTCTGAAGTGAAATGTGCTAAAATACTGCAGAAGCCGCCTAGCATCACAAACGGCGCACGGAGAACGCTGAGAGCAGAACTAGCCGCCAGCTCTGTGAAAGGTGCCACGTCTGCGTCAGGGCTAATAATGATATAAAGGGAGATTTTGGCCAAAGTTCAGGACGTCGCTGTAACGCAGCCCGTATCGTTGTATTAGTGTTTTCTTCCTGCGCAGGTTAGCACAGCTTCAAAACGCCGTGACTGAAGCCAGGCACCACAAACTCACTCCAAACTCCGCTGCATATCAGATATATATACTCAGAGGAAAAAAAACCCTTTGGCTAAATACGCACACGTAATACTTATACATTTTTTTGTTTCTTTTTCGTCTTTTTGTTCACAGCTCGGCTTAGCTAACTCTTGGAGATATATTGTGAATACATCAGGCACTGTAATACGGGTGTGGCGCAGGCAGGGGGCAGTAGTCGAGTCCCCCACGCGTCGACGCACACCCGGCTTTCAATGTAGAAGAACAACGAACCCGTCCACCCGTTAGCGTAGCCTAGCCTCGCCCCGCGCTAAAGCACGTAACGCCCGCTGGAGAAGATTGCTGAGAAACCCCCTCGCGTTTGGCCAGTCACATGTAAGCACAAGCTAATTAGTCAAATATGGATAACAGAAAACAACCAAAGAGAAATAAAAACATGACAGGAGAAAATAAAATACAACACACATAAATCATAATAAAAAAGCTCCATCAGTTTTAGCCATGCTCATTTCGTTCAAGCCGTTTGGAGAGGCACACCCAGAATGTGTCAGCTCGACATTACAACTTTGTGAATTATGACAGAAATTAATAAATGTGAGTGTTCTCGTTCCTTCTGTTTCTTTTTCTTGGCGACGTTGGGTGGTGGGGGTCGGATCAAGGGGAGGACTGCTTTTGGAGAGGTGGAGCACAACCTAAAATGGCGACCGAATTTAAAAAAGAGTACGCCAACAGGAGTGGATTCCAGATGCTTAAAAAATGACCTAATTTCAGTGGGTTGAACTTTTTCACCGTCACAGGTTCGAGATAAGGGCAAATTTTACTTTTTTGGGCTGGAAAATGGGGATGAGCCAATACTGGGGATAAGCTAATACTGGTGCTAATCTAGGATACGCTAACAAAGCTAACAAAGCTAACAAAACCGCACTGGATCACCCTGAATGATAAGGACCACACTTAACCTATGGATTAGCAAATGTTGTGGTCAATAGGAAGTAGAATGATATATAGATAGAGATACTAGCCCTATACTAGTCACAAAAACAAGTCCACGCTCTGAATGTATGATTTTTTAAGCGTGACTAGAACCCCACTCCTTGCGGCGCACACATGGCTGGGTTGGGTTGGGTTTGGGAGGGCGGGTGTATTATTGCTATAAAATTCAGTGCAGTTTTCGCAAAAAAGGCTAAAAAAAAGGTCCACCCAGTAATGATTCATGAAGAAAAAGAAAGAGAGAGAATGAGAATTGAACTCAACCAACAGAAGGGAAAAACCATGGAGGACACAACTGGCGGGACGGTTGTGTTGTTGGTGGAGGAGGTCGCACTGTCGCCCACCGGGGTTAGGGCCTCTCTCTCTCTGTCCCAGCGAGAGGCGTTAGCAAAAAGGCAATTACCAGTTAACTGATCAGCAGGCAGGCTGGGGCGGCTCGTCATTGGGTGAAGAATTCAGAGGTCAGAAGGTCATGGGGTTAGTTGCCGGTGGCGGCTAGGTGGTTAGGAACATAAACAAAAACAAAAGAAAAGAAAAAAACAGAAAACAAAGATAGAAAGGATATTAGTTCAGCAGAAAGAGACTGGAATGACATCATTTTGACAATAAAATGAAAGCAATCTCTATGTGAAAGCCCCCACCCACCTCACCGCCTCGGGAACCCGCAAGTGCTAACGCTAACGCTAATGCTAAAGCTAAGGCGACCAGTGGTGGAACATGGCAAAATACCGTCAGTGTTTCATTGTCAGAAACAGTTCAAGTTTGCATCAGGTTAAACGTATTCCTCACTTCGCAAGTACTCTCCGGACAAACAAAAAAAGTGCTTTTCTCGACGTTCAGAGACTAGAGCTAGCCCTGGAGCGATAAATATTGTAGCTACATTTTCACTGCTAGTTCTGGGTTACTCTAGATTAAACTATAGTATTTCTAACATCAAGTAGGAAGAATTTATGGATGGAACTTTCTTTTTTTGTAGTTGGTTGGGGCAACTTTAGCGTTCAGGGTTTCGTTTCCAAAACCTCAAGACAATGGAGCGGGAAAATCCAAATAATGGATTCCCAGGATACCGGTTTGTTTTGGGTAGTTTTCCAGGACAAAACAACCTACAACACGTGTAGAGAAGAGTAGAGTTAAGTAGGGCTGGTGGAAACAGGGCTAAGGATGTGGTTAAAAGAGTGCCTAAAATACTTTAACACATTCACAGTTAAGTTCCTTTCCGTCTCGTGCTGAGAGCGTCGTTATTTGTGAGAAGTCTGTTAACACTAGGACTCCCAGAGCAGTCAAATTGACAGCTTTAAGTTCTAGAAGTGTAAGTGCGGGTACATTTTTGTGACTTTTTCAGGAGGTTACTATAGCAACGCACGGTTTACCGTTAGCAGTTAGCATTTGGCATTTAGCATTTAACCTTTCAACAAGCTGTTTTAGCACTTAATAAGAGTGAGTAAAGGTAAAAATAAACCTTATATATTCCTTCTATAAAATCTGGCAGTCTAAATGACGGCTATAACGATTTCTAGCAGTTTCATAATTTTAGGAGTCCTAGTGTTACGGCGACTGTCAAACTGCAAACGATCTGATTCTTGTGCAGAGAGCTTTGAAACTCATCCGTGTAAATAAGTACGACGTGAGAAACATGAGAACGTTTAGGTAGACGTTTGTCCTGCTGCAACTTGAACATTATTTACTTTCACTGATCAAACCGGAGTTGCTGGTTCCACCACTGAAAGCCCGGGACAGGCCCAGGACCGGCCCAGGACCGGCCCAGGACCGGCCCAGGACAGGCCCAGGACAGGCCCAGGACAGGCCCAGGACAGGCCCTGGTGGTGGGTGCCGAGAGCGACCGGCCGGCTCCAAAAGCCCCGCACCCGAAAAACAGAATCCGACGCAGACGTGTGAGAGCTGTGTTTCCAAGGAGCTTCAACCATGACCCAAAACGTCAGAATAATAATAATGAATTGTGTTGTGCGTAGGGTTAGGGTTTAGTAAAGAACGGTGTGCAGAAATAACAGCTCAATCGCTCTTTTTCCGATTCCCGCTCTTTATTTTGCAGTAATTTGTATAGAATATAAATATACACAAGAACCATAAATACATTTGATAGAAAATGCTCAAATAGAAAATGACAGTACCTTTATGTACAACTGAAATCTTCAGAATGTGTTTTAGCTTCATTTTTGGACCATATATATATTTGCAGTACACTGGATGCAAGCTACCTCAGCTCTGTGTGTGTGTGTGTGTGTGTGCGCGCGTCTACTGTAGAAAAATAATATCTAAAGAAATCTATAATGAGAGGGCAGCGCTCCGTCTGATCCAGCCCCAGCTCTTTTCTTTCAGCTACGTTTCCATGGTGACGGCAGACTAAATATTCAAGCGGAAATGTAATTAAAAGGGCAAACCTCTTCACCTATAGAGCGTCTACAGTAAAGCACATGCAAAGACATGCACTAAACAAGTAAAAAAGGGAGATTTAGTTTGATTATTAGTCTCTAAAACCCTTCAGTTGCTATTGCTAACATTTACAATAGAAATAACAACATTGGACTAATACCCATCAATACGACTGGGCATATGGAATATTAAAGCTGGGTTGTCTAACTTTGAAAAAAATAAGTAATGGTACAACACTGGTCCCTGGTTTATGACAGGGGTGATGTGTTCTAAAAAATAAACCATAATAAGACATATCCTCTCAGTAGCAGCTGTTTGTTTTAAGGCTGTAAAACCTTCACACTTTATAAACTTCTCTAACACTTCTCACAACTGCTGCAGTGAGAGAGACCAGAGAGAGACCAGAGAGAGACCAGAGAGAGAGACTAGAGAGAGAGACCAGAGAGAGACCAGAAATATCAAACCTGTTGGTTGTAGGTCTGAGCCTGCTGCAGCTGTCAAAAGCCGTGCATACACTGTAAAATACAGCTGCAGAGGACACCGCACTGATGGCTACGGGAAGACCAGAGAGAGACCAGAGAGGGACCAAAGAGGGACCAGAAACAGACCAGAGAGAGACCAGAGAGAGACCAGAGAGAGACCAGAGAGAGACCAGAGAGCGAGCATAGAGAAACCTGAGAGGCCAGTCAGACCCTGAGAGATACCAGAGAGAGATAGACACGAGAGGGACCAAAGAGAGAGACCAGAGAGAGAGACCAACGAGATTAAAAAAACTCTTTTCAGCAGAGGTTTGCCTCCTGATTCCCAGGACTGTACAGTTGGAGCTGAGAGAGCTGGGACTGGACCATCGCTGCGTTAGAGGAATGTGGGAACGTGGCCTGAGCTCGCGGAGTGTAAACTGAGGTGCGCGTGACGTGTGGCGCGTAGAGGAAAGTGGAGAAGACACTACATTCCCAAACTAAGGCATCGAGGCACAAACGAGGCATTAGGAGAGTGGAGAGGGCGGGACTCGCTACAGGGGCCGCCGAGCGCAACCCGCACACATGCCGCACGTGTCCTGAACCGTGCAGGGCATTGGAGAATTCAATCAGAATTTAGTTTTGTATTGAGGACAGAGACACTCCTGAATGAGCGACCTCTGATGGAAAAGTCACATACAGCTGCATGACGGAAAATGGCAAAGTCTAATTAAATCCAAATTAGAAAATCGTTGAAATGGGTGGTCTGTGATTGAGGATCGAGCTGCATAAGGGACTAGAGAGAGCATGAGTAACATCCAAACTCCTTATGTGTCTTTCTCCCACTGGGTTCGAGGAGTTTGCTTTGTCGACAGAGGGTTTAAGGACAGTGGTGATGATCCAGTGACATTCAATGACATTTATGGACATTCTTAGACATTGGTCATCTGCCCCTTATGTGTTTTAATCATTGCATTTCCGGTGTTGTTAAATAGTCATAAAATGGCAGTGTGTCAGAATATTGCATTGTTGATCGTACACTGCAAATAATGATAATAATAATATTTTTATTATTATTATTATTATTATTATTATTATTATTATTATTATTATTATCCATCTCTATTTCAGTACAGTCTTAAAGCAAGATTTGCCAATGAGTCAAAACTGTTGCTTTATTTAGTTTTAAGGAAATATGTGCTCAATTACGACACATTTTGCCAAATTTGAGCAATCTTTGACATCTTTTTCTTTGACTTTTTGCACCGGTCAGTATCAAAACCGCTCAATATGAATTATTAAAGTAAACATATTTGTGAATATAGTTTGCAGGATGTTGGTCTGGCAGGACATGGACATTCCACACAGATAATCAGTTACTAGTTCTTATATTAGTTTGAATTAGTACGCTTTTAACTATAATATACTTTACTTTTGAGGTTTCTCATTCTCTCTAATTGGGTTTTTAGAATTTTTCCCTCTAAAAATCTGGGTCTAAGGACAGTGGTGATGATCCAGGACACTCCATATTCAACAACATTCATAGACTATCAGTATTTAGTTGCTCATCTGCCCCTAACGGACCAATGGTTCTATGTTTTATAATTGCATTTCCTGTGTATTGCCAGTTTCTCTAATCTGTGTTGGCGAATTCTACGGTTGTGTAAAATCTGTAAGATATCTATTGTTGTGATTTAGGGCTATACAAAAATGCTCTCTTCAGTCCCTTATATAAAACTGTGTATGAAAAGCCCCAGTGTCCCGTCAGGCCGAGCCCCGTCCCACCGGCGGCCGTGTTAGCGAGTCCCAGGAGATGCAGAGTGTACACAGGTCTGGAGGCTAAACTAACCTCTGTCTGCAGTCACAATCCTTTGGTAAGGATGGACCCGTGTGTCGTGCCGCCGCACTTTAGTGGCCATTGCACCTACAGATCGTAACAGGGTTAGCACGCGCGCTTCAGAGGGAAAAACAGTCAGCAAATATTCACATTTCAACAGTCCCTCAAAGCTTAGCAGGTACAACACATCTCAGAACACCTTATAATACAGTATACACACAGGGCACAGGGCTTTAGGTACAAAACAATGCTTTAGAAAACATGACACATATTTGGAAGTGCGGGGCGTGGTCACAAACACACACCTGAGATTTGGAATGGAGAAACAAGACTTTTAAAAGACTTATTCACAAACGTGTTCAAAGTTAAGAATAGGATTTTTGCAGCCAGTAGAATCTTTAAGAGGAAGACAGACTGTTCAAGGAGCTGTGAGGGAATTTTGGCACGATTGTAGATGTAAATACAGGATATATTTACACTGGAGTGGATTCTTTACGAGAGGAGTAAAAGGAAGAATGACCTGGTTTGGGTAGAAGGGTTCCAAATTCCAGTTCAATATCCACATACCAAGCACATGTATGTAATATATCAAATGAATTTCACTTTTCTCCTGATTTCATCCTCAGTAAAGGACTGAAATTATACATGACCACGTTGAAAATAACTAAAAAATAATGGAATAATAATAACACTGGTCTTTTTCAGATGCTGCAAAAATCCTAAACATCCATTTCAGTTTTTAGGACTCGACATTAGGCCCAACGTGAATAAATATTATATATGATAATAATATATGTGTGCAGTTGCAACCACGCCCTCAAATGCATAACTTAGAGATTCCACAGTGCTCAGGTTGTAAAGGGTCAGGTGAAGGCTGGAGGGAGGCTGGAGTGTCCGCACCACGAGGCCTGGTCCCGGGCTCTGGAAGAGGGGGTCTAAAGGGCAGGATAGAGGCCTGGTCTAGATGGTCTTAAAGGGCAGGATAGAGGCCTGGTCTAGATGGTCTTAAAGGGCAGGATGATGGCCTGGTCTAGAGGGTCTAAAGGGCAGGATGATGGCCTGGTCTAAAGGGCAGGATGATGGCCTGGTCTAGAGGGTCTAAAGGGCAGGATGATGGCCTGGTCTAGTGGGTCTAAAGGGCAGGATGATGGCCTGGTCTAGTGGGTCTAAAGGGCAGGATGATGGCCTGGTCTAGTGGGTCTAAAGGGCAGGATGATGGCCTGGTCTAGTGGGTCTAAAGGGCAGGATGATGGCCTGGTCTAGTGGGTCTAAAGGGCAGGATGATGGCCTGGTCTAGATGGGTCTAAAGGGCAGGATGATGGCCTGGTCTAGAGGGTCTAAAGGGCAGGATGATGGCCTGGTCTAGTGGGTCTAAAGGGCAGGATGATGGCCTGGTCTAGTGGGTCTAAAGGGCAGGATGATGGCCTGGTCTAGTGGGTCTAAAGGGCAGGATGATGGCCTGGTCTAGAGGGTCTAAAGGGCAGGATGGAGGCCTGGTCCAGTGGGTCTAAGGCAGCGGTTGGCAATGCTTTTCTCTAGGGGCACATTGAGATATCTGTATATTGTGGAGGGCCATAGTTGTCATGTTTTTTCCATTTAATTTAAATTGGGAAAACATATGAGTTTGAATGTGTGTTTGAGAGAACCCTGAACATATCGTATGTTCTGAACATACGATATCTTCAGGGTTCTCTGTTTGTGTAAAGTGTGTTAGCTCATCTTTAGCATCTGTGGCTATAACTTTGTTTTAACCTCATACAATATGGAAGATTAGATTTTCATTGAGTAGAGATTCTCAATCATTTAAATAGGGGGAGACTATGACGTTTGTGGATGGGAAAATGTCAGATCTTATCCACAGGGAGGATGGTGGCCTGGTCCAGAATCTCTGGAGGAGGGTTGGTCTGGTCTCTGCCCCAGCTCAGAGGCAAAAGCTGGTGTTTGCATGTTCTGTTTGTGTCTGCAAAGGTTTTGTCTCGGTCCTGTAAACTATAAAGTTGTAGAGCCAGGACTGGACTGACAAAGACATTGGGAAATCTCAGTGGGAGTATTCTGGTTAGATAAATAAAGGTCACTAGTTGATTGACAAATTCATTTCTTGCCATATGGAGGAATGGTCCTGGAGATGTGAGAGTGTGTGTGTGTGTCTGTGTGTGTGCGTGTGTGTGTCTGTGTGTTTCAGTGGGTGGGAGATGGTCCAATAGCTCTGATGGTAATTGAATGTCGCCCAATGCCACCTGGCCTCGGCCGCTTTCATTTTCCCCTCCGCCGGCTCCATCTACTCCCCAGCCGTCATCTCCACACTACATTTGTCTCCGCTCGCCTGCCTCCCGCTGGCTCCACTGCAAAAACACATCTGCGCCTGTTCAAAAGCTCTTCACTGCTGAATAATGCCGCCATTTCAGCAGATGAAGTGAGCTCCGAGGGTTTAGTGAGACTTCCTTATTGACGGTATTTCATTCATTCAAAATAGCTTCCTGGCTACAGTAATTTAACATTCACTCTGAATTAAAAATAACATGTGTGCAACTATACGTACAATTTTTCTTTCCCAAATGGAAGCTACAGTCCATTTTGGCATCACTGGTTTGTTCTTGTGCCCAAATCAGTCCTGGGTCTACAGCCTCAGTCCTGGGTCTACAGCCACTGGTCATCACTCTTGCTATGGACCAATGTCTCCTCTGTGTGAAACCAGTGAAATATTCTATGTCCCTGGGAAATACATACATTTTGTAAGAAAAATTTAAAAACGTAAATGTAGAATAATTGTCTGTTTTAAAGACATTTTCAGTGCTGCTGTTTTTGCAGTGCAGCTTACTCCAGGCTGGTCGTTAGAAGTGCAGTGATGTACGACTGCTGCGGTGACACGAGGGGGATCCCAGGTATCACCCGCTTTGGATGGAAGAGATGTGACGCGGAGACAAACCGGGGCAAACGGGAGCATTTTAATGAACATGCCCAGTGGGAGCTTAGGCCCGCCTGCAGAGGTCCTCAGGGACGCTCTGCCAGACAGACGCCCGCGGCCAGAGCATGAAAGACATGTGTGCGAGGCTGCCTCTGTCAGACGAGCATAGGAACTATACAGACGAGTGCAGGACGCTCAGAACGCTCTTCTAACCCTTGTACTACACACGTGTCAAAATGACCCACTACAGATGATCAAATGTAGATGTAAAATACCCTAAATTAGGGTCTCAAAGGGTGTGAATGACCCAGGGCTAGTCAAGCAAGGGAAAATCATAACTCTAACCCTGAGCCTGGTGCTGTCTTAGCGTCAAAATGACCCACCACAGTGACTAAAAGTTGAAGAAAAAGACCCTAAAAATGGACATAAAAGGGCCGACACACGGTTGGTCAAGTTGGGGAAAAAATAATCAAAATTCACCTTGGATTTTTTTTTTTTTTAAGGATATTTTTAAATCGCTGTGGCGGGTCAATTGGACTCGCAGAAATGTAAAAGCAGCTATTTCTGCTTGATTACCACGTGTTTCGGTGGTAGACTTTCGCCTTCGTCAGAGGAGACACGCGGTGGTGTAACGTGTGGGCTCTGGAGAAGTGAGTCAAGGTGAAAGCCCCCTCATCTCTGTTGATGGTCTGTAAGATCTGTCAGTCTTATAGCATCCGCTAACAACAACTGATCAGACACATTCATGCTTCTCCTCTGATGAAGGTGGAAGTCCACAGCTGAAACATGTGCTCATTAAGCTTCTTTACACATCTGTCTGATCAATAGAACCTTCTAAGCCAGAAACACAAGACATAACTTTTTATAGACAAGACGAGCGCGCAGACATGAGCGCGCAGACATGACCGCGGGTATGAAGCGGCGGAAGGCTGTGACCGGACGTGTCTGCACTGGTGTGTGTGTGTGTGTGTGTGTACTTGAAGGAGGTCTTTGCCTTTTGTGGGTCAGGTAAAGTCAACTTTATCCTTTACTCGATCTCAAAGGGAACTGGGATGGGACTGTTGCATCATGGGTTTGATAGACGGCTGTTTGATTGGCTAATTATTGTATATGACAAACAGTGCAAACATATCATTCTGAAAGGCATGGATACTCGCAGCTGGCTGGAATTTAAGTTGTGTGAAGTCCTCAGTGGGGAGTAAGGAACAAGGTCTGGAAGGTCTCTGGGCCTGGGTGATTCTCGGGCCCTGGGTGATTCTCGGGGACTGAGTGATTCTCGGGGACTGAGTGATTCTCGGGCCCTGGGTGATTCTCGGGCCCTGGGTGATTCTCGGGCCCTGGGTGATTCTCGGGCCCTGGGTGATTCTCGGGCTATGTTAAGGTTTTTTCCTTAGTGTTAAAACAGATTCATGCTTAATTAGAATCTGGTGAGTTCAGGCTGCTCCAACAACACTGCTGCTGGGATTGGATGGATTTTGTGTGGGATAAAGCCTTTAATTCTGGAAATATATCATTGTTGACATGGATTATGCTAATGTGAGCTAGCTTTACTTTGTTATGTTGTAGGGAAGTTTCCTTCTTTGAAACATCCTTTATCAAAAGATCCAAGTCCGTTGGTAAGGAAGTGTTATTATCTGTCTATTTACCTGCCGCTACCACCATTGAATTTACTCCAATCCAATTCTCGCTCTGTGCGTTATCTCCTTCTTTAGCTAATCTGTGGAAATGAAGCCACTCTGACGGCCAGAGCCGAGGCCAGAGCCTAGGCCAGAGCCGAGGCCAGAGCCGAGGCCAGAGCCGAGGCCAGTAAACCCCAGGTCAGTGTGCCGCATGAGAGAGGTTTGGCCTGGGTTCATACAGGGCCTGGCAGATGAAACTGTTCTGTCTTTAGTGTAGAGTAAGCACGTACAGAACCTGATGGGCCTAAGGGGCTGGTGGTCTTGACCTCTAAGTCTGGGGAGTGAGTGGGTGGTCTGTGTCCACCCCAGCCTCCTGTCCCTCGGGTACACACCACATTCCCCTGCTCAGGTGAGACACCTCCTCGTCCCCTCAGGTGGACACCACATATTTACCTTTGAAAAAGTCCTGAGAGTGGCTGAGCGCGGCGGGATCCAGTGCCCCGACCGCGGAGTACATCAGGCCAGCCTCTGACGGTGGGCTAAAGCTGGCCATGCCCCCCCAGGCTCTCTTACCTAGGACCCCCGTGTGATCCATGGGGTACTCCAGCAGGGAGGTGGGGGCCAGGGTGTATGGGTAATCGTAAGGGCTGGTGTAGATGAGGCCACCGTCGGGCGAGGGGGGCACCAGCGTGGGAGTTCCGTTGGGCAGCATGGCAGCCACTTGGGGCCGGATCAGGTTCATGATGGGGGCCCCGCCTGGTGTGGGGGGCCGCATGGAGGGAGGCAGCACCTGACCTGTGGGGCCCGCTATGAGACGAGGGCCCTGGGCAACTGCGGCTGCCGCTGCAAGAGACAACGCAAGGGTGGCTGCCATAAGCAAGAGGCCCAGGACAGAGGAAGAGGAGAGAGAGAGAGAGAGGAAGAGGGGGGAGAGAGAGAGGAAAGAAAGAGAGAGAAAGAGGGGAGAGAGAGGAAGAGGGGAGAGAGAGAGGTAGAGGGGAGAAAAGACAGAGAAAGTGAGAGAGAGAGGAGAGAAAAGAGCGTGGAAGGAGAAAGAAGATAGAGAGCGAGGGAGAGGAGAGGAAAGGAAGAGAGGAAAGGAGTGAGGAGAGAAAGGAGTTGAGAGAGAGATGGAAGAGGAAGAAGTGAGAAAGGAAGGAGAGAGAGAGGAGAGAAGAAGAGAAGAGAAGAGAAAGAGGAGAGGAAGAGGTGAGAGAGAGAGGGGGACAGGACGTTTCAGGACAGCACAGGTACAGAGTAGATGGGACATACGAAGAGGTGAAGGACAGGAAGAATGAAGAGCATGTAGATGTTTCCCAGAGCATGGGAGAGGGGGGGCGGGGGGAGGGAGAGCAGAGGGAGGGAGGGAGACGGGAGGGGGGAGGCCACAAGGGAACATTAGTACATGCAATGATCATGGTGGTGAACCACAAAGCCACAATCTGTAGCCAAAATAAATCAACATAGCAAAACCAACATAAAAGTAACCCCACACCAAAGCACAACCCCGATAGCATAGCATCACCATGGCAACACACACACACACACACACGCACGCGCAGAGACAGACACAGACACACACTTCAATAACCCCTAAAGCCATTGTTTAATCAGCCGGTATTTATTGAAACAGTTTTCTGGATGTGTTGTTGTTGATTGTGTGGTTGGAAATTATTCATGATTGTAAAAATTGTGAATGTTAAAAGCTGAGAGCAACACAACCTTTCCCTTCCTCCACAAATTTTGGGCTAAGGTCTGCAGACAAGGTAATCCTATCCTGTCTGCAGAAAGGAAGCCCCAAACCGTAATGTTTCCACCCCCATGCTACGGTTTGTTAGCCTACACTCTGGCAAATGGAGCAAATACAGATTCTCTGAATCTGAGTCTCTGAATAAACTCATCATGGAGAATATAGTTAGGATGTGGAGAATGTGTCAGGAGGTGGAATAAGCTGCAAACAGTTCACAAATGAATTAATTTCAGTGTCAGTAAAAATCGGATACACGTCCGACTATTGGGATTAAGAATGGAAATTAATGATACAAAATGTAAATATTGTCCCAACACACACAGAGAGAAACGGGCGCACTCTCTCACAAACACACACACACACACACACACACAGAGACAGACACACACAGATAATGCTACACAAATGTACGCTCAGGGAATCCTCGTCGTCACATCACAGTCAGCCGTGTTCTGTTAATTTGAGCTGTGAGCGATTTGTGCGATTCTCGAGCCGGTTATGGGCTGTGATGTCACACACTGTGCATATGAAGTCGCATTCTGATTGGACAAGCAGTGTGTGGGTGAAGGAGCATGCAGAGCAGAGCAGTGGAGCTGAGGCAGGGGGGGGGGGGAGGGGTGAGGGGGGCAGGAGGACGGTCTGCTCCGGAACCGGATCCACACATTCACAACAGTTAACATGGACATTAGAATGTTCGCTAACTCAGTATATTACAGCTCTGTGTTAAACCACTGAGTCAGTATTAACCGGGGCTGCACCAACTTCACCATCAAACTCAACTTTCATGGTCACAAACGCTATAAATTAAGAAAATCAGTCTCCGTTCAATCGTTTTTTGGACTTTTTAGCTTGTTTTTTTATATATATATTTGTCTGGTGCAGAATGGGGACTTTTGCACATGTATTCCAATGGGGTTTTACTGCAAAGGGCAAAGAAAATGAATCTGAATCCGTCTCTTGGTTTGAGGATTTTTCGATGGAACACTCTGCTCTTGTTGACGGCAGCAGCATTTTTTTCTCATATTTTTCATAATTTAAAGAACATTTTCAGGTCCGACTCTGTACGAGAGAAGAGTAAAACCACAGAAGTTGCTGGACTATTCACCGCACCTGTGTATAAACCGCTCGGCGACATTGGAAAAGAAAGGACATGTACAATGCACCTGAATATAGAACATTATATTGTGATGTCACACTGAACCAGCAGCGGATAGACTGTTTTTTACTGGACACAACAGGATTTTAATGAGGAGTTTTAATGGGCCGATGACTGGAGATGATCGCTCGGGGAAATGCAGTCTGTTTTGATTATAATTGTGTGTCCCATCCTCATAAAACCTGATGGAGTCAGAATAGCGAGTCCATAAACGCTGCTCTGACAAAAGTCCTAATCACTTAAAGTCCTGAGTATTACCCTGCACTTCCTCATCTCTCTCTGCTGTTCACATAAACACAGAGTGAAGCAGGAATGTGTGCTCTATCCGCATTGCTATGGAGACCCCAGAGTTCAAATAACATGTTAAAGAAGCGGTTTATAGTCCAGCAAGTACTGTAATCAAATCAGTCCTCGTCATGGTAAATATTAGTGATGTTAAATAGATTTTACATGATATGAATTTAGTCTTTAAGGACGCAACGATACGATCTCCATACTTTGTCTTTAACGTGAAGCAAACTCAGACGGATGTAGTCTCCTCTGACAACGGGTCAAATCCCGTCGTTTAACAGTTTTCAAAAGCTGGACTAGGTCTGGCTTCAGATCAGGATGTCGGCTTCAGTAATATTGCTGCGTCCCCAGAACACTCACAAACCAACACACATTTTACAGGTTTAGTCGTTTTAGATTCTGCCAGTTTCAGTGATGTCCAATACTCTGGGTTACCTAACAGTTTGAGACACAGTTTAGCAGGTAAACAATTGTATCGTTGTATTGTCTCTCTGTAATGTGTGTTTCCCTGTGTGGGGTTGTAGGTGTAGTACAGTGGGGGGCCTCCAGGGGGCGACTCACGTGCTTTGATGTTGTTGTCTCTGTACGTCCCGTTCAAAATGGCCAGCTCCATCAGCTGCATCTTCTTCAGGTTGTCCTCTCCCTCAGCCTGCAGCACACACACAAAAAAACACACACATTTACTACACAAGGACACGCAGCATCATCAGGGCTCTGTTTGAGCTTAAACTTCATCTTGAGAATATTGGTGTTTCATGGAACAGCTCCACCTGGTGGTTCAAGTGTGATGTCACGATCGGCTTAAAACATGTGTAGCACAGGCAAGAATGTAAGACAATATCTGGACTGAGGAGGAACCGAGGAGGGACCGAGGAGGGACCGAGGAGGGACCGAGGAGGGGCCGAGGAGGGGCCGAGGAGGGACCGAGGAGGGGCCGAGGAGGGGCCGAGGAGGGGCCGAGGAGGGACCGAGGAGGGACCGAGGAGGGACCGACGAGAGACCGACGAGGGACTGAGGAGGGACTGAGGAGGGACCGAGGAGGGACCGAGGAGGGACCGACGAGGGACTGAGGAGGGACCGAGGAGAGACCGACGAGGGACTGAGGAGGGACTGAGGAGGGACCGAGGAGGGACCGAGGAGGGACCGAGGAGGGACTGACGAGGGACTGAGGAGGGACTGAGGAGGACTGAGGAGGACTGAGGAGGACTGAGGAGGTCTGAGGAGGACTGAGGAGGACTGAGGAGGTCTGAGGAGGACTGAGGAGGACTGAGGAGGTCTGAGGAGGACTGAGGAGGTCTGAGGAGGACTGAGGAGGGATAATCTCTCCGAGTGCCGGTGTTTGACAGACGTGATGTGACATCACACGTCCCTCATTCATATCACTGCTGTAATTGCAGTCATTTTCCTGCTCCCAAGTGCGCAATCAAAGAGCCGCAGCCGCAGCCGCCCCGGCTGATGTCACTGCTGCCAATTAATGTTTGGATAAATAAATACAAAAGCGGCGGCAGCACTGTCATTACCGCCAAATTAGGAGACTCAAATTATGCACGGGAAAGCAATTAGCCTGCCCCCCCCCCACTCCGCCCTTGCCATGGCGACACCGGGGCTCTGTGATTGGCTAACGGCTGTGTGCAAGGGAATGTCAGAGACCATTACAGAGACAGTCCTACACAGAGACACTGTCCTACACACACACAGGCCTACACACAGACAGGCCTACACAGAGACACAGGCCTACAGAGAGACAGGCCTACACAGAGACACAGGCCTACAGAGAGACAGGCCTACACAGAGACACAGGCCTACAGAGAGACAGGCCTACACAGAGACACAGGCCTACAGAGAGACAGGCCTACAGAGAGACAGGCCTACACAGAGACAGACCCCTGCTCTGCGAGTCCACATTCTCCTCCAACACAAGCCAGCTCTGAGTCCTCTGCCCTCACCAAGAGACACTTCATTGAATCATAGTCCTATTATATAAATCACACACAAGTGTTTGTTTGAAAACAATTAGGAGAACAAGCAACGCGAGGGCTAATACTTATTACTGCTGATAATCACCTTTATGTAATACCACTCATTGTGAAGTGAGTGAACAACGCCTAAGCAAAACCATAACATGTTCTTTAAACGCCATCTTTTATGAGGATATGTGGGTAATGTATAAACAAAAAGTGGAGTAAGAGATGACCAGGATGAGCCCCTCTCCCAAACAGTGGTCACAGAGCACAGAGAAATGGGAAGATCGGAGTTTGACTGGAGACCGTAACCAAACTAATGTTGTAACCAGTTTTCAGAAACTGTCCAAGTTTGGCTCCGCTCTGGCTCCCACAGTCTCAGTAAACTCTCGCTCAGTAACGTTTGTGCCACACTCACCATTTTGGGCTGAAATCTGTGGTTTATCGCTCTCTCCTGGTGTTTGCTTTTGTAAATCCAGATATGAGCCCAAACATCTGACACATCAGACGCCTTCATCTGTGTGTGGGGGGTGGGGAGGGAGCTTTACATTAACGAGAACATTAGCTCCAGCTAGCTTACGTGCAAATCCAAAACAGTTGCTTCCATCACAAGTTTTCACACCCCTGTCACAGTTCAGCTTTTTCAGACGGAAAAGTGAAAAAGAGCAGCCCAAAGAGGTGACCCAACCAAGACGTTATCGATATCACAGTGGATAAATGTTATATTTGGCTTTAATAGTAAAACTCGGGGTGTGCAAATATGTTAAAAAGTGAAATAAATGGGGTCTCAGTTCCATAAAGGCATCTTGTGTAATTTAAAAGTGAAATCTGAAGATGTGTTCTTTAAGTACCGGTGGTTGCAGCTGTTTGGGCAGTGGAGGATGCCGGTGTTTGGGTGTGAGCCAGAGAGCGCCCCCTGTGGCTGGATGCGGTGGTGCGCACGGGGCCTGGGGCAGAGAGCGGCCCCTGACTCACACTTAAACCTTTTACCGAGCGCTGCTGGCCCCGACTCTGCCAAAGTGAAGCCAAGTGCAGGAGGAGACGGTGCAGGATCCACGGCAGACTGATGAGAAGTGATCATGAACGTGGCTTTCTCAGGAAAATGTCGAATGGATCAGAAAAGACTGGTTGATAAACGTCTATCGATCCATGACTGTATCTTGGGGCTATGGTTATGTCTGATAGACCTCGCACTTTATACACATGCACTGGTCTCATACATCGTCTCCATAGAAACCCTTGTATTTCTGTTCTTTCGGGAAAACTGCAACAAAACGTAAATTGTGCCGAATGTGACCTACAGAAGAGGTAATGTAATCAACAGAGTGCGTGTGTGTGTCTTTCAGTTAGCAACATCATAGATTATATCTGTGGTCATTGGAGAATTATCAGAGTCGTACAAAAGTTTTCAGAATACCATTGATTTGAAAGTGTTAAAGACACCTTAACACATTCCAATCTATGGTATTCTGAAAACTCCCAAAAATAGTGAGCGAGTTTTCCGTCAGTTTTATTTGAGAGTACCTTTACCCACTTTTAATAGTAAGTAAGTAAGTAGTAGTAAGTAATCTTTATTTATATACCGCCTTTTCACTGCACATCGGAGTCTCAAAGCGGTTTACAATTGTTATTTTTGGGAGTGGGGGTGCCAGTACAGGAGGCACATGCCAGACCTATTGTACATATTTTTAGTGGTAGGGGAAACCGGAGCACCCGGAGGAAACCTACGCAGACACGGGGAGAACATGCAAACTCCACTCAGAAAGGCCCTGGTCCAACCAGGATTCGAACCCAGGACTTTCTTGCTGAGAGGCGAGAGTGCTATCCACTCAGCCACCGTGCTGTCCTATAGGTGCAGATTATAACTAGAAATACAGAAAAGGTATTTGAATTACTAAATGCTAACTGTTAGCAAGTAAACAGTGAGTTGCTATGGTAACTAGCATTGGCTCCTCAACTACAAATTGATATTGAAAGGTTTTTAGATTATCTTTTCAATCAATTTTGAGAATACAATGTTTTAAATCCATGTCATGACACGGCCAGTATATTAGTACTTGATTGCCAACTCTTGACTCCTACACGTCTCCTACACGTGTTGCATGCAGACGTGGACCATGCAGACGTGGACCATGCAGACGTGGACCATGCAGACGTGGACCATGCAGACGTGGACCATTGTCTCCTTGAATATGTTCGACTGTTTCATGTTAATACGGAGGGCTTCTCTTTGAAACTGTACTTTCCACTGACTGTTTGTGGGTGTGTTTAGATGTTGTGTTTCATTGAATAAAGTAGGCTGCTTCGAGGAGGAGAGATTAGAAGACATTAGTTTGGAGCTGTGGGAACACGGACGTGGACGACTAACCATGTACAACAGAAGGACAACTTCGGCATAATCTTTGTGTGCTTTTGTCCAGATGACCTGCAGTGCAACTCGTTTTTATCACAAATAAACTACCTAAAGTCACATTGTTATGAAGACTATGTACAAGAGCTGAGAAATGACACCTCAGAGTAGCGGCCGTCAAATGGACTGCTCAGGGGGTTTGAGTGCTAAGTCAATGGAAGCTTACAACCGCAGTCTACGGCGAGACCGACCTTTCTGAGCTTCATACCATATTCCCACGTGATTCCTCGTCAAAAACAGACCTGCGGCAGTGTTTAGCTCCAGCCACTAATCACGAGAACTTCTACCCCCTCCCCTTCTGCCTTGAATGCGGTTTGCAAACGTGTAATGAATCCTCAGACTGTGACGTCGTGGTTACAAATACTGTGACCAGCAGATGGCAGCACTGTTACTGTGGTCTTTTCAACTCCTTTTCAGAATCTAAATGCTTAATTGGTTGCATATTGAAATGTACAGTATGTGCCTCACTCCCACTGGTGAAATCCACCTGTCGATCTCGTTATCCTGCCTCTCCTGAAGCTGTCTCCCCCCCTGCCTCCCCCCCATATCTCCCCCCTCCTCCCCCTTGGCTGTGCCCTCTGTCTGCTGCCGCTGTGGCCTGAGTAACAATGAAGACACAGCCGCTCCCCGGAGACTGAGCGGCTGGATTACGGAGCGCGGTGGAAGGGAACTTTTCCTTTATCACTGGCGTAGGTACACACACACACACAGACGCACACAGACGCACACACCGGCCCCTGTCCATCAGCGGAACAGCCACTCAATAAAGCCGCTCTATCCACCAGAATCAGATTCAATCAATGAGGCCTATTTGTGAAATCAGCGGAGCGGGAAAGCTATCAGGGAGGCGGGCGGCAGCGACAGGGGTGTGTGTGTGTGTGTGTGTGTGTGTGTGTGTGTGCTCATGTGTGTGTGTGTGTGTGACATGCACCGCGCGTTGATCAGGTCCAGGCTAAGCCACTCCGGAGGTTAGGCACCAGAGCTGACGTGGAGCAAGGACGAACGCAGCAGAAACATTTACACACATTTGGACGCAGAGACCGTAACCACGGCAGAAACCTACAATAATGAAAGTGGGGCAGCTGACGGTCAGTCCATCAATCGGCCTGTGTATGTAGAGCGCTAAAAGCCAATCATTAGAAGCCCAGAACGGAGAGTGAAAGCAGTATCCATCAATCCAATCTTTATTTGTAGAGCGCTTTTCATAGAAGTGCTCCACGGTTCATAAAGAAACATCACAATAACACAAGGAATAAATAATCACAGCATTCAATTTGAATGCTGTGATTATTTATTCCTCGTCTGCTCTTTTGAATTTCAAAAGAGCAGAGACACAATCCTTCAGTTGTTGCAGCGAAACAACTGTTTTTAATCTGGATTTGAATATTGTCAGAGAAGAAGCCTGTCTCACATTTTCAGGAAGACTGTTCCAGATTTTAGCTGCATAAATCTCAAACGTTGCCTCCACATGGGTTGTCCTGACTCTGGGAGCAGCTGGAGGCCAGTCCCTGTGCTCCTCAGAGTTGGTTCATTTGGGACTAACATGTCACAGATGTACTTTGTTGCGAGGCATGTAACAGACAGAGCAGCAGACAGTCACAGGAAGCAAAGACCTGAGACCAGGACTAATGTGAGAGGACTTCAGGACAGAGACCTGAGACCAGGACTAATGTGAGAGGGCTCTAGTCAGGACTATAGATAGACTTGTTTATTTCTAACGCTCTGCAAACGACTTTTGCGCCACAATAAACAAAAATCAAAGCACAACGCTAAAAGCAAATCAAAACTACTGGTAGTGTTTGGAGGAAAGAGTAAATCCGAGGCACTCTTGACAGTAAATAAATGAGTCTTTCTTGACATAAGAGTAATTTTCATTTGTATATTAAATTGGCCTTTCCCCAAAGAAGCTACACCCTGCCGCCTCCACCGGGCTCCTCCGGGCTCCTCCGGGCTCCTCCGGGCTCTTCCGGGCTCCTGTGGGTCCTCTGGGCCCGGATTACTCCTCCGGGCTCCTCTCGAAGCCCGTGGAGAAACAGATGAGCGGCTGTCATCGCGCTTATGAATGTGCGCACACACTTTCCCCGCGACACCCAGCGCGACAGCACCCATCCGTCTGCCGCGGCCATCCATCTCGGCGCGCGCAGCCCACCCGAGCGCCGCTTCCTCACCGCTATCTGGCAAATGCGGCTGAGAGATGAGATTTTGAGAAAGGGGAAAGAAAAAATATATAAGAGCGGATGAAAAACTACAAACAGAATGGGAGGAAAAGCCAAAGCCAGCAAAGAGCGGCCGTGAGTGATGGTCTGAGATGCAGAGATACGCGAGGGGGGGTGGAGAGGGTGGGGGGCGCGCTGGTCGGAAAACCAATTTGTGCGCTCCCTGGTGGGCTGACACGGGGCGCGCGCCTGCCACTCACTCGCACAGGCGCGCACACGTCCAGCGCAGGCCGAGCGGACAGGGGTCAGGAGCTCTCCAAACTACTCCAATTACCACAGCAGTAAACACAGGCTGCCCCACGGCCTCATGGGAGAGCCGGCCCGCGGAAGCACCGGGGAAACTGAGGAAGAGCAGACTGTGGCAGGTTTGGCAACAGTTTGTCCATGTGCCGTGAGCCAGCCGAGGCACCAGAGCTCCAGGCAAAAGCACTCACTGTATGGCTCTTCGGAAGCATTTACAGCCATTTTAGATGCTTTAGAGGAGGGGTCTCCAAACTGTGGCTCTGGACTTAACACATGATCCTGAATGATTCACTTTAGAGTCATAAAATATCTACTTTAACTGTGTCTGGCCTGTTGGATAATCTTGTTTGTCATCCCGTTTGTTTTGCCTTTTTCATATATAGACTGATGCCTGTAGGATTTTTGTTGGATGCAGGGGACATTTTTTGGTTGTAGTTGGGCATTTTTCTTTGTTTTGAATCGTCATTGCCATCTGTCATGAGTTGACAGGCCTTGAAATAATACCATTAAAGACAGTTGTAAAAAAGCCATGTGGACTAGTGATGGGGGAAAGATCAATCTGTTCAGTATCGCAATATTCTGCACACGCAATTAAATCGATGCAGTAGAGCGTAGAGAAAACCATGTGTTTTACGGTGTCGTCTATCCAGATGATAATGTCTTGTCCTGTAAGAAAGTAATGCGTTCCGGAATGTTCAAGGATAAAGTTTGTGCACAACAGTTAATGTGCAGACTATTATAAATATCTAAACAATCGCAGTAAAATGGAATTGTGGCCTAATTATCGCAACACAATCGAACAGTCACATTTTTTCCGACTCCAACCTCTCAAGTCGACACTCAGAGGTTTGTACTTCTCTACAAAGAGGGACGACAGCTGCATTCATTCTTCCACTCTTTGCTCTTTCTCTCAATGTGAGGCCGATTGTGGACAAATAAAGACTCTTTTGTAGCGTGACACCAGACCAGAACAAGGCTCATTGTGGCGTAACGTCCCCAAGTCTGTGCATCTGTTTGATCTCTGCGTCTCCCACTCTGCCGTGAGCTCAGAATCGGAGAAGGAGGTCAGTGCTCGGAGCTGTGATGATGTCGTGTTTTCTTCCAGACAGAACCCGGTGTTGGAATGTGTCGTATTCCTGCGTCCTCTGTGCGGACCGGACGCAGACGTGTGTAAAAACCAGGAGCTCTGGGTTCCTGTCCGCTCCGTCGGGATCACAGGAAGTTGGTCCCACGGAATTACTGTGACATGTTTTGTCAGTGTGGAACTAATCAAGAATAATGTTTTTTTTTACCCCTTGCTAAATTAAAGTACGGCAAAGAGGACAACAGGGAAGTGTTCCAACGACGTCTGTACTTTAGTTTCACTACCAGTGGAGGTTAGAGGCCTCAGTATACATTAAATGAGGGTTAGAGGCCTAAGTATAGATTAAAAGAGGTAGAGAATCAGAACCTACACAACAAATTCAATCTCAGGTTTGAGGCCTGAATTTCTTCTCTTTTTAATGCACTGTGACCATTTATGCTGCTAATTCCTTGTGTGGTTTTAATGTTTCTTTCCTTGTTCTGTTAAGACCTTTGAGTATTGGGTATTTCACTACAATAACAGCTTATCGATCTTGCATTTGGAATTTCATCTAGAAAACATGCCCCAGCTCATCTGGGTTCGCGTGGATCCACTGGAGGAATAATGGTGGAGTGTGGTCTGCTTCTGCTCGGTTGAAACGAAAACCTGCAGCCACACGGCCCTTTGAGGACTGGGTTGTCACGACACCTAAACTGAAATGACAGCTAATCCCCAACGTTACGCAGGACAATAACAAACCAGCATTGTTCCTCTGTTCTTACTGCTGTTGGATCCGGATGCTCGTTTCTCACAGCGTTTGGCCTCGTTCCATAAACAAGCAGCAAAACGCCCAGTGATATCACTACAACCGCTTCACATCTGTTTCCAATCACAAGCCTCTCCCTCACAACAACAGCGTTTGGAAAGTTCAAAGACAGAATTATGCCTTCGCTACTACAAACGCAGCGTAAACGAAGAGCGAAGAGTGCAGCGGACCCCTGTAGCACCGGGACTTTACCCTTCACACTGTGACACACACACACACACGCACACACACAGTATTTGATCACAGCTACAGTCGTCTCAGTGGACAAAGTTGTGGATTCATCAACAACAGATTACGAATGAGGGAAAAGCAAACACTAAGGAGACATTGGTCCAAAGGGAGCGGGACGACCACTGTCCAGAAAAGTTAATAAATGTGCGTACATGTATCATCACAGTCCTTAGACCCTCGTGGACCTAAGTATGAATTATTTTGTTAATGTAAACTTCAAAGTCCAGACAGAGGCCCTCTGTGTGATGTTCCCTCTGCCGCAAACACAAAGTATTATTGAGATCATAAACACTGAGCTCTGTCAAACGTGAACCGATGCAGACAAGTCATACCTCAATTCAAAGCTCAGAACAGAATCCAGTCCGTGTTGTCGGCCACTGGACAGTTGCAGTGAAGTAAAGTGGCCCTCTTACTAATACTACGTCCTTAGCTCTGCCCACATGTGTTGATGATCCAGGACACTCCACATTCAACAACATTTATCAGCTGATCTTTATGGACCAATGTCTCTAAGTGTTTTGATTCTCTGATCCGTGTTTGCAAATTCCATGGTTTTGTAAAGTCCTCCGAGATAACTACTGTTGATATAGTTACTGCAGTTCTTTGCTGAATAGTTTAAGTACAGTTACAGGTTTTGAAGATGAAGTGAGTCGTCCCTAAATGCACAAAGTTGTGAGTAAAACGCAGCATTGAGGTGACTTCACACCTCTGACTCCTGTAAAGCTGCTTGATTGCCGCTTTGCTCTGGCAGACAGCGGTGTTAGCGCCTCGCGTCATTAGTCATGCTAGCTGCTCATTAGCATAGCAGAACCTGGCTGCGGCGGGATTATAGCCGTGCATCAAGCCGCTCCGCCCCATTACTGTCAATCAGGAGCGCGCAGTCACCCGCCGACCGGCAGCACATCACACCTCACGCCGCGGAAAATAATACCGTTCATTAAGAGCGGGATAAGGTTTATGGAGAGCGCTAATGAGGTCAGGCCGCCACTACAGCCGCGTGTTGGCGTTAGCATGCTCAAAACACACCGTCATTATCGCAGAAAGTGCTCCATTAATGCAGATCTGTTACAGCTCCAGCAAAACGCAGAAACAGACTTTTTGAATGGATTAAAGCTTATGAAGATGATGTCCTGTCTGTAGCTGTACTCTGACACATTATGCATTCAGTACATTAGAAATCTCAATCTGAAGATGTTATAAAGACGGGACTTTTCAACATTTATGGACATTGGTCTATGCTCCTTATGGACTGATGGCTTTATGTGGTTTTTATAGATGCATTTCTTTTGTTTGAACTGTTTCCTTCTCTGATCTGTGTTGGAGAATCAAAGTCCTCGGAGAGAACGACTGGTGTGATTTAGGGCGATACAAAAAATTGAATATAAATGTATTAAATGTCTGTGTTCACATAGGCTTGAGTCTGTGGAACTGTGAGGTGGATCAGGAGGATTCTTCTAAAGCAGGGTGTCCAAACATTTTGCCAACATGGTCCAACAAAATGGAGCCAACAGCACGGTTCTTAAAACTGTTTTCACTGGTTCTGAGCTTTGAAACAAAGTCTGTCCATGTTGATTGACATTCGACGGAGCTGAAGTTGTGTAGTTTGTGTTGTAAGTGTCAGATACAGTTGTGCCACTGTTACCTTGTGTTTATGAACTCAATGGTAACTGTGTGTTAGCAAGAGGGCCGCATAACATGACACAGGGCCGCAATTGGTCCGTGGGCCTTAGTTTGGACATGACTGAATTCACAGGGAATCTCATTCTACTCATCGCACTGTGACTTTTCCACCACGTGGAGAAATGTAGACATTATCAAGCGTTAACAGCCTCGGTCCTGGATCTTTTTTTTCCGGGTAATTTCTGCACATTTATTAACATTATGAAACGGCTTTATCATCATCGCTTTGTGTTCAAACTGTTTCTCTAATCTGTTGTTGGTGAATTTGAAAAGTCCTTTTTGATGACTGCTGCCGTAATTTAGACCTGTACACAAATAAATTGAAGGAGATGCAGACTGTCACTGTAGCCGGCAGAAGTCTTCTTTAGGGCGGCAGTAGCTCAGTTGGTAGAGCGTTCGCCTTTGAGCCAGAAGGTTGTGGGTTCAAGCCCCGCTCAAGACATTCACCATCGACTCCCACTGACTACTGTCGTTGTGTCCTTGGCAAGACACTTAACCTCTGGGAACACCAGCCACAGTGGAGCGGCTGCGGCTGTAAAGTGCCAAACTGCCGTTGTGTCCTTGGGCAAGACACTTCATGGTTGGTGGTGGTCAGAGGGGCAGATGGCGCATACTGGTTGCCTTGCTTCTGTCAGCGTGCCCCAGGGCAGCTGTGGCTACAGTAGTAGTTTATCACTCCTTTGGAGTGAAAGAATGACACATGTGAAGCGTCTTTGAGTGTCCAAAAAAGCGCTTTATAAAACCGATGCATTATCATTATTATTATGATTTACTCTACTGTACCTAGGTATAAACTGCTCCTCTACATCCTAAAAACCCGCTTGTGTGATCGCCGCCTCCTGTAGAATTGGGGACGAAGCTAACGGGGAAACTAGCAAACACGCGCTTCGAATAATTAATGAAAACAGATGGCAGATCAGTCAGTGGATGAACCCGGCTTCCCCATCACCAGCCTCTCCGCTGCCCGGGACTCAGCTCTCCTTGAAGCCCTGTGTCCAATCCATCTCTTTTATTTCCTCCCTCCGCTGAGAATCACTCCCGTTTGGGCCGGAGTCTCATTTATTTTAAGGATCCCCGGCGTGGCGGTGTTTGCGGCGCGCACAGGGGCTTGTCTCGCTGCTTTCAAACACACACACATCGGCTGATCCATTCTCTGCTGGAGAATAACCTCGTTTCTAATCCGCCGGCTTGATGTGGGCTCCTCTGGGGAGATCTTTCAAGTGTCCTGATGCAGAGGGCTGGCGCTGACGCAGGTTTAATAAACAAATAAAGGTGACTATGAAAACACATGGTACTGTATGATAGTCTGAGGATCCAGCCCCGCGGCAACGTGACACACATCAGTCACACACAGACTGTACACCAGGGGCCTCCAACCTTTTCACAATCTGAGAGACACTTTCATACAAAAAAGGTAGAGAGCTACTTGTTTTAGCAAAAAATGGATGTAAAATATACCATAATACTGTATAAACCTGTGTTTATATTTATAATAGATATGTAATGATACGTAATCACTTGTTACATTGAGAATCCTTTGGGGAGCTACCTAAAAGTGGCTGGCGAGCTACCGGTAGCTCCTGAGCCACAGGTTGGAGACCCCTGCTGTATACAGATGGACAACCCTCTAGCTCAATGAAGCCCAATAGGGAAGTGCTCATGGTGAAGTTTGGCTCCTCGCTCGGACTCCTATTGACACACATGTAAAAGTAAACTCCTCCATTAGCTGTTAGCGTCACACTCACGGTTATGGGCTTAAATCTGTGGTTTATTACTCTCTCTGTGACCCTGGTGTTTATTTTGTGTTGTTGTTTTTGTAAATAGAGATATAGTCATAGAAGGATTGACCAACCAGATGTTTTCATTCATTGGGGAAAATTCAGTTTTCCTCCACGCTTCTGGAGTATAAGTAAGTATACCGTGGAAACATGTCAAAGTACATTGCTAACTTACTACTATCTGGTAACGAAGAATCAAATCCTTGTATTTCTACAAAAACGACAAGATAAACTAAACAGACTTATATACACTTACTGAATTTCTCCATTGTGAGCTCAATAAAGTATATCTTATGATTAAATACCATTCTTTTAACAGCAACACAAAGAAGGAGATGGTCGTGGTCAACATGAACTTGTCCTCAAACTTAGACTCCACATGTTTAATAGCACTGGGCCACTTCTAATCTGCCTCCTCCAGAGCGACGGAGCGAGACCACGCCAGCCCCCGGACAATCTCTGCAGCTCTTTGAAGGGCCGTCTCTAATCCACAGCTCTGAGCCTGGTGGAGCTCTGCCACTTCCACAACTTCTCTGGACGCAAAACACTGGTCCTCCACCCCCCTCTCTCCCCCCTACTCCCTCCTCTGCCCATGTCGCTGCAACAGAGACCCCCGAGAGTCCGCGAAGGAGGGAGGAAGAGGGTTTGAAATGCGATTGTGTTGGAGCGGAGCATCTGCAGAGCCCGAAGGCCCGTCATCGCATTCCGCCACGGCGCGCTAGCATCAGGCGCTTTGGCATCAGGCGCTACACCCTTCAAAGTCCGCGCGCAGCACACGGTCCCCCCGCTCCGCGCCGCCACGGCTTTCCTCCGGCGGTCTTCTCCTTATCTGGTTCTGTTGTGGTTAGCTGCACGGCTCAGGCGGGTCTCTCATGCGGGATTGAGTGAGCGGTGTGCGATCGGCTTGCGCGCTGTGAAAGTGGAATGTTCTGAGGAATTTTGGAGCACGGCGAGAGAGAAATTATCCACCCGAGTTTGAAATCTTCTTGGGGAGATTTGAGACCGGTCGGAAGGACTTTCTGCAGCCCTGACGCGTGGAATTTCACCAAATCTGTGGAACAACTTTAGTACAGAGAAGTTTGGACTGTCAGTTCCAGTATTACGGTCAATTTGTGAGTCAGCCGTGGAGGAAAACAGTAAATATCTTCCCATCTCAAAAAACTAAATACAGCAATCCCAGTTTTTTCATATACTACAATATTCAATTCCATTCAATGTACTTTTGTATTGCCCTAAGTCATCACAGTAGTTCGCTCTGAGGACTTTACAAAGCTGTCGATTCGCCAACACAGATCAGAGAACCGTTAAAACACAGGAAATGCCACGATTAAACACAGAGCCATTGGGGCGGCAAGGCACAACTCGAAGTATCCCAATATCCAAAATATCTCTCCATTATTTCCTGTCTCAAAACAGAAACTACAACACATTACCTAAAAAAAATCAAATGCCGTTTTTTAGGCAAAGCAATGAAAGTTCATACACAACACGCGACTCACAAAAGACAAAACAAATCTGCTTTTTTCAACATTGAATGAGGAACATGACCTCGTTCTCCCTCCACTAGAATCCCAATGGTCAAACTGGTTAAATAATCGGGAATCAATGTCTCTAAGGAAAAATATGAACCCACGTGAGCTGACAGAGGCCCTTTGGTTCTCGTGTTCAATAGTTAAAATTAACTATATTAACTATACATTTACTTCTATGATGCACTTCTTTTGGGACAGGCCTCACTCTGCTGTCATTAGGCATAGGGCAATTTTATTTGTGTAGCACAGATCATACACAAGGAAAAATGCTGAACACCACAAGAAAACAAAACATTAAAATCATTACAGTGCATTAACAAAAGGAAAAACACAATCCCTCCGTTCTGATTTGCTGCGAAACAGACCTGAGGGATTTTAACACCGTCACTGAGTACAAGCCTGTCTCACATTTTCAGGAAGACTGTTCTAGATTATAGCTGCATAAATCCGTATCGCTGCCTCCTCACCCCCCCCCCCCCCCCCCACCCCCCCCCCCCCCCCCCCCCCCCCCCCCCCCCCCCTCTCCTGTGCCGGGCTGGGGGATCAGGTCTGACTGAGGATGGTGGAATCTAATGCAAATCCCGCGGCAGTATTTAAATGGGCCAAATCATCCCAGGCCAAATCCCTTCAAGATACGGCGCGCGCGATTGGGCGCATTAGGGGAGTGCGCGCTCGCAGAACAATGCTCCAGTGCAGAGGGGAACGAGGAGCGAGAGGTGAGCCAGGCAGGCCGGGGGATTTAGACATTTCTATTTTTACTCGCCTGTTTTGAAAGAGGCAGAAATTTCTGATATCGTTTCAAGATTGGATCTGAAAACATGTGACTGTAGAGAACGTTGACCTGCAGAATCTTCTATGGACAATACTTTTGTTATTAAAAAGGCAGAAAAGGCTTTGGCCTCGCTCCCTCTCTCCTCACTCTCTCTGGCCTCCCTCCCTCTCTCCTCACTCTCTCTGGCCTCCCTCCCTCTCTCCTCACTCTCTCTGGCCTCCCTCCCTCTCTGGCCTCCCTCCCTCCTCACTCTCTCTGGCCTCCCTCCCTCTCTCTGGCCTCCCTCCCTCTCTCTGGCCTCCCTCCCTCTCTCTGGCCTCCCTCCCTCTCTCTGGCCTCCCTCCCTCTCTCTGGCCTCCCTCCCTCTCTCTGGCCTCCCTCCCTCTCTCTGGCCTCCCTCCCTCTCTCTGGCCTCCCTCCCTCTCTCTGGCCTCCCTCCCTCTCTCTGGCCTCCCTCCCTCTCTCTGGCCTCCCTCCCTCTCTCTGGCCTCCCTCCCTCTCTCTGGCCTCCCTCCCTCTCTCTGGCCTCCCTCCCTCTCTGGCCTCCCTCCCTCTCTGGCCTCCCTCCCTCTCTGGCCTCCCTCCCTCTCTGGCCTCCCTCCCTCTCTGGCCTCCCTCCCTCTCTGGCCTCCCTCCCTCTCTGGCCTCCCTCCCTCTCTGGCCTCCCTCCCTCTCTGGCCTCCCTCCCTCTCTGGCCTCCCTCCCTCTCTGGCCTCCCTCCCTCTCTGGCCTCCCTCCCTCTCTGGCCTCCCTCCCTCTCTGGCCTCCCTCCCTCTCTCTGGCAGAAAACGGCTCAAACCGTGTTGTCATAGCGGTACAATGACATCAAAACGTTACAAAACTGAGACAGAAGCTTTTAGACCGAAGGCGGAGTTACATATTCGTGCCAGAAGGTCCTGATGTTGGCGTGTAAAGATCTGAACAGCTCTGGGTCTGGGACTGACGAGGCCACGGGAGAAAGAGAAACAGTAGATTTAGCGTTGATGAAGCCGGAACACTGGCATTAACTTGTTGGCAGTATCAGTCTCTCGCAGATGGAGGTTGGATGACGGACAAAGGAGGAAAACAAAGCCGTCCAGCTGTTGTCTCCATTACCGCTGCCCCCTCGCCGTGATCCGCCTGTAAGAGCAGACCCCACCCCCCCCCCCCCCCCGTCTAAATCTGGCTTAAATCTGCCGTACATCTTTCCCTGGTTATTTATCCGAACCGTAATCCCCCTCTTAATGTGCTTGCGTTGGGATGAAGGCGATGGCTGAGTTTCCACATGGCTTCCTCCGGTTTGCGTCGGAAAGAGCCTTTAATGAGTGGCGTTGTGTAGTGTTGTCTTGTGTTGTGCGGCGAGGGAGCGCTGAGTGGCGGGTGTCGCTCTGGTCCCGGTCCATCCAGACGGAACAGCAGAGATGATGTCGAAGAAAATTCAGATGGGAGCAAATTATGGGAGTCGTGTCTGTCAGCGGCAGGAATTTAAAAAACAAATATGAGGCGGTGTTTTGAGCCCACGATGGAGAGGACACAGTCTGTGGTTTGGCGTTGGATGATCAGAGGCAGCTACATGTCTGGATGTGTGTGTGCGACACGCTGGAATGTCAGGAGACGAGTATTTAAAGGGGACATAAGTGTCTGTTGGACACATGTTACACAGACGACTCGACAGCTTCAGGTCGGTCTGTGATCGTCTCTGCAGAGGCTTCCATCCATCAGTCTGAAAAGAAAACTGGAGGGACTTGTCTGTGGCTTTGGCGTTATATAGTTTTAAATCAACGCTCTAAGTACAAAAAATATCTGATTTATTAAAGTGATAGTCAGGAACTCTAAATGAACTACACATTAAGAATTGTATTAAATTGACCTCCAGGCCTTAAATATTGATATGAAATAAGTCGTTTTATGAATTCTAATATTAAGTCTTGCCTTCCCTTCTCTTAGCTATAGCTGGAGAAGTTCACGTTAACCAATCAAGTGATGCCAAGGGCTGTCAATCATCGGCGCTGACGCTCGATTGGTTTTGTCATGAAAACGTTAAACAATAATTCTGAAAACTTCTGTGCATGTGTATTAATAATATACAAGTATAATATGTTCTCAGATTAACATTTAAATGTGTTACAGAAACGCAGGCGTAGACCAATCAGAAAGGAAGGGGGAGGAGCTTGGCTCATTTTTTTTTCAAATCCTGTACCTCTGTCTTTTTTGTGACAAACTCCAGACAATCACTTTAATAATTATTGATGCGTTCATAAATAATAAATAATAGTTAGCTGCAGCTCTACTAAACATGACCCTGTTCTGGATTATCATACATTTTTATACAGGAGGATTTTCTACTTTCGGGTGGATCATCAAGACTATTGGTCCTCTCAATTGTCAATCATTCTGGTGATACTCGTCAAAAAAGACCAGAGAGTTTTGTTCATAAAGTGGAGAGGGCAGTTCTTTCCTAAAATTTGGGAGAATCTTCCTATGTACCTTTTAATATCCTCAGTTTGCAGACCTCCGAAAGTGAAAGCTAGCCGTGACTGTAATGACCCCGCAGGAGCTCGGAGTAGAGCAGCAGCTCGCGGCTCACATGGCGGGTCCGTGTGCTCGCTCCTCAGCCTTGGCTCGGAGTGTGTTTCCGTGCTCCTGTCTCCGGCGAGTCTCCATCTGCCGCCCAGCTCTTCCAGGCTCCTGGCCGCGGCCCCCAGCCATGGACAGGTGGGCCCCGACACAACAACAGCCCGGTGGAGGAGCTGCCGCCGGAGACTGGACACGAGCCCTGACCACAGACGCCTATGCAGCAGAACTGAGAACATGTGAGCTCTGATGTCCAGCAGAGAGGAAGGGGGCGGGGCTTAAGGACTAAAGACTAAAGGTGGTATGTCCAACAGAGAGGAAGGGGGCGGGGCTTAAGGACTAAAGACTAAAGGTGGTATGTCCAATAGAGAGGAAGGGGGCGGGGCTTAAGGACTAAAGACTAAAGGTGGTATGTCCAATAGAGAGGAAGGGGGGCGGGGCTTAACAACTACAAGATGGAATCATGTCCAGCAGAAATGTGGTGCAGCAGATCAACAGTTGAGAATGTATCACATGTGAACATCGATGAGAATAGAGGCCGAGCGGACACAGGCTGAGACTGTGGCGGTGAAAGGCGGCGGTGAAAGGCGGCGGTGAAAGGCGGCGGTGAAAGGCGGCGGTGAAAGGCCTGTCTGCCGCTGATCACTATTGGCTGCAGCGGCACACAGATGTTTCCTGTGGTGAGCCCTTTAAACGCTCAATTCCTATTAGCCACTTATCAGCGCGGCGTCATTAATCAGAGCGGATTTGCACATCACAGCCGCCTGCGCTGCCGTGGACGCTCGATACACCCAGGCCGCCGGGAGGGAGGGGGAGGGAGGGGGAGAGAGGGGGAGAGAGTGTGTCGGCCACAGTGCTAACATGTCAGGAGCAAACATTAAAGGAGGAGTTTAAAGCAGACATGACATAAATAAATGTGTGTGTTTAAAATAATGCTAATATCACAAACACGTCCTGTTGAACATTAAGATCCTTTGTTGGTCCCACAGTGGGGAAATGTCAGTGTTGCATCACCAATTACACAACAGGAGGAATGGGGAACACACAGCACAAGAGAAGTGAAGCTTATACAAAAAAAAAAATATATGAAAATAATAATATTCTAACTTAAGAATAACGAAGTAAATATATAGTTGTATGTTTCCATCTGTACATTAGCAGCATGAGGCTCTGGGACACAGTGACAGTAAAGTGACAGTAAAGTGACACTGGACACATGTGGTTCTATTTTACACATTATGTAATTATTAAATTAAAAGTGTGTGCGTCCTCATTCTTCATCATTGATCCTAAATTGGGACATTAAAGACAGAAGCTCTGATAACCAGAGAAACAGCGGCTCTTGAACAGATGCAAGAGTCCACTTCCTGAATCTCAATCCCAGCGTGGCCTTCAGATTAGCAGCACGGATCAGCGCTGCAACCGCCACGAGAGCAGGCTCTAAACATCTGAGCTCATTCTGCTCCAGGAGACACCCCCCTGCACCCCCCCCCCCCCCCCCCCCGCCCCTGAGCAAGGACACTGAGGCGGGCAGAGGAGAGCTGGCCTGCCCTTTCGTCAAGCGCGGGTCGCCCAGTCACGGCAGCCAATTAAAAAGATGATTAACATTCTTCTGGGAGACTTCGCCATGCGTTTCAGCACTCACGCGCATACACACACATATACACACACACACACACTGGACTAGCCTGTTGTAAGCGCACAATCCCGGGAGCACAAGTTCACGCAGGTTAATATGATCCAATGCATTTCCTTCATTAGCCTGATGAAGCTAATAAGAGCCAGGTGGGACCGCGGCGCTGGGATGACTGAGCGCGCCCTCCTATACACCTCGCATTAAGCGCGTTTAAGCCTCTGCAGCGGCACTCTCACACTCCGCGCGGTCATCCGGTGGTGTACACAAACGAGCTAACAGGTAGAGGAGGCGTTCATTAAGCAGGGAGATTTGTGGTCCTGACACGGCGGCTTCTCCGGGGCGTTGTAGCTACCGCGCGCGCCCAATAAAGATGTTATATGGAGCTATTACACGTGTGGGAATGGCGCGCGCCGCAGCTAGCCCCGCGCCGCCGAGGATGTGCGCGAGTCAGGTTTATTGCTGAAGAGGCACAGGATTAATGTGATTTGTGTGCGGGAGATATAGCAAACACAGAGATATTTACAACTTTGAGGGAATGTCGGACTCTGCACATCGCGCCTGTGTCTGCGGCGGGCGGCTCCAAGAAAGGTCTGGAAGTAATATTAGAAATGCTGCTAACTCCAACTACAGCGTCATCATTCGCCAATTTAGATGATATGGTACTGTGTTTTGAATGCACAATAAGCATGTCTCCCACTTTGTAGAACCTTTATCTACTTAAACAACAAGGCACCGAACAAAGACGGTTCTCTCTCTCTCTCTCTCTCTCTCTCTAAATGTAATTAGCCTAATACTAGTAGTAAAAGAGTGCATTGGGGTTGGCTTCGGTCAGACCCGTGTAAACTCTAGGTCCTGTCCACAGCTCTACATTGGTCCAGTTCTGTCACATCAGCAGAGTCCAGCCCCTTCTGAATGTGATGTCACGTTGCTCAGTGACGGATGCTTGTGTGAGAGTGGAGCGTTCCTTTGTGGCACAAATGGACAGAACGCCCTGCGGCAGAAGAGACCGTTGTGTCCTCGGTGATCTCCAAACTAAAAGCACCGAGACACGGAACAGACGACAGACTACATGAAGTCTGCACATCATCTGTGACGTGTGATCAGTGTTCTGCTCGTGTCTCTGTGATCTCACACCAAAAGTGACATTTTAGGGCCATATGAACCAACACAGACTCGCAGACAGCACAGGGACTGGGGCCTCCTGCTGGGGCTCTGAGGAGCACAGGGACTGGGGCCTCCTGCTGGTCCCAGAGTCAGGTCTAAACCAGGGGAAGCAGCATTTCAGTGTTGTGCAAGTCTTCCTGAAAACTGCAAGACCACCGGCTTCTTCTCTGACAAATGTTAAAATCCAGGTTAAAAACAGATCTTTAGAATATGACTTAGGGATGTTATCTTTATCTCTTAATAATCTGTGACAATTCATCATTTTAATGCCATTGTTTCCATCTTGTTTTGCATTTGCACTTCCTGTGTTCTAACCATTTGATTTTCTGATCTGTTGTTGGTGAATCCACAACTTTTTAAAGTCCTCTCGAGACGAAAGCTGTAATTTAGGGCGAAACACAAACACATTGAACTGAACTGAACCTTCCACACAACCAGTAAAGAGTTCAATGACACTGGACTTGGACAGATAAGAGCCGTGACCATGGCCCTGAGTACGCGCTGGTGTCGCATAGAAGCCACAGCTGCCCTGGAGCCAGAGCCCAGTGCATCAGCTGCAGGTGTGAGGCTCCGCCTCTCTCCCTCTCCTGCCTCTCTCTCCCTCTCCGGCCTCTCTCTCCCTCTCCGGCCTCCCTCTCCGGCCTCCCTCTCCCTCTCCGGCCTCCCTCTCCGGCCTCCCTCTCCCTCTCCGGCCTCCCTCTCCCTCTCCGGCCTCCCTCTCCGGCCTCCCTCTCCGGCCCCTCTCTCCCTCTCCGGCCCCTCTCTCCCTCTCCGGCCCCTCTCTCCCTCTCCGGCCCCTCTCTCCCTCTCCGGCCTCTCTCTCCGGCCTCCCTCTCCCTCTCCGGCCTCCCTCTCCGGCCTCCCTCTCCCTCTCCGGCCTCCCTCTCCCTCTCCGGCCTCCCTCTCCCTCTCCGGCCCCTCTCTCCCTCTCCGGCCTCCCTCTCCGGCCCCTCTCTCCCTCTCCGGCCTCCCTCTCCCTCTCCGGCCCCCCTCTCCCTCTCCGGCCCCCCTCTCCCTCTCCGGCCCCTCTCTCCCTCTCCGGCCCCTCTCTCCCTCTCCGGCCCCTCTCTCCCTCTCCGGCCCCTCTCTCCCTCTCCGGCCCCTCTCTCCCTCTCCGGCCCCTCTCTCCCTCTCCGGCCCCTCTCTCCCTCTCCGGCCCCTCTCTCCCTCTCCGGCCCCTCTCTCCCTCTCCGGCCTCCCTCTCCCTCTCCGGTCTCCCTCTCCCTCTCCGGCCCCTCTCTCCCTCTCCGGCCTCCCTCTCCCTCTCCCTCTCCGGCCTCCCTCTACCTCTCCGGCCTCCCTCTCCCTCTCCGGCCTCCCTCTCCCTCTCCGGTCTCCCTCTCCCTCTCCGGCCCCTCTCTCCCTCTCCGGCCCCTCTCTCCCTCTCCGGCCCCTCTCTCCCTCTCCGGCCCCTCTCTCCCTCTCCGGCCCCTCTCTCCCTCTCCGGCCCCTCTCTCCCTCTCTGGCCTCTCTCCCTCCCTCCTCTCAGTCAGCCCTCATTAGGAGCCCGAGCGTCCTGGTCTGTGCCGCCGCTGACAACCCGTCCGTGGCAGAAGACGCTGTGCTTAATTACAGGATGTCAGCGGTGGTGATGTCACATGGTGCTGTCAGCTGAGCATATTGGTGAGAGGGTCACTTACAGCGCGCCGCGATGGTGTTGACACTAAACGCAATCGAATTGTGAGAAGTTGTCAGCGAGAGAAAGAAGTGTTTGAGCCACATTCAGTTCAGGGGCTTTAATCCAGCCCCGAGGAAACATGTTCTCAGCCACGCTTTACACAAAAGACTTAGACATCGGGAACGCACCGCGCGCCCGCCCCTTCTGCGCCTAGGTTTGTTTTTAGACTTCCTTGCTACATGTTTTAGATGTAACACATTCTAGAGGATGACCGGGTCAAACATATCTCAGGCCAAAACGAACACATGAGTCCATTCACTCGTGGTGTTCTGTGTTTGGACGCTGCATGTAGTTCCTGTCAGGAGCACCGGAGCTGATGCCAAAGCCGGATACTGCCCCCCACCCCCCCGCAGGTCCCCCAGAGCCGGGACCATCTGCGTCCGCCACGGAGGCTCCGGGGGAAGCAGTGATGGGCGTGCATTGATCAGGACTGTCGGTGAAAAGCAGTCCATGTACGAGGTGGCTCTGGGAGAAGGAGGTAAACACAACTGCAGCTCTGTTTGTGAAGTATTTCAGGACATGTAGAAGGTGCCATTTCCCTTATGGTTCAATTTAAAGGTGGTGTATCCAACTTCTTTACTTTACCACAATATGCTTTCTCTGTCAGACTGATGCGAGCCGATTTAAGACAGAACAGAAATACATGCATGAGAGAGACCTAAGAGGTCAGACAAAGAGACCAGAGAGAGAGACCAGAGAGAGAGACCAGAGAGAGAAGAGAGACCAGAGAGAGAAAAGAGACCAGAGAGAGAGGCCAGAGAGAAAAGAGAGAGACCAGAGAGAGAGAGACCAGAGAGAGAGAGAGACCAGAGAGAGAGAGAGACCAGAGAGAGAGAGAGACCAGAGAGAGAGAGACCAGAGACGGACCAGATACTAGAGAGATCAGAGAGAGACCAGAGAGACCAGAAAGACCAGAGAGAGGGGCTAGAGAAACCAGAGAGAGACCATGCAGGTGAAAACTAGTGATAGAAACAGTTTTAGAGCCAGGACTTTGCTAAAGCTTCTTGTGATTTTGTCAAATGACTAAATGTTTAAAGATCAGATAGACTTGTTGTTAAACTCGACACAATTTTCAAAACAGCTGAAAAACAAGAACGTCCTCAGACTGTGAAGACTTCACTAAACAGACACCAAAAACCAAATCCAACGGTCGTCTCCGTCATGTCGCCTCAGTGTCACTGCTGTCACACAACCACATTCCTCATGCCACTGCAGGCTCAGAGTGTGTGTGTGCTCAGTGTGTGTGTGTGTCCTCAGAGTATATGTGTGTCTGTCTGTGTTCAGCGTGTGTGTGTTTGTCTGTGCCCTCAGTGACTGTGTGTGTGTGTCCTCAGAGTGTGTGTGTGTGTGTGTGTGCGTGAGTGAGGGGGTGTGTGTGTGTGCGTGCCCCCAGTGTCCTCAGTGTGTGTTTGTGTGTCCTCAGAGTGTGTGTGTGTGTTTCGGATGGAACGGTGCTGCAGGGCGCGGGCTTTGTTCTGCTCTCTCTCTGATTGGCTGGGACAGGGCTCTCTCTCGGGGCCCGCTGCTGAAGCTTGTGCTGCTGTTGTGTTGAGGCGCAGCAGGATCCTGGGGCCCGACGTGTGCCGCGGACGGAACCGCCCTTGAGCACCGGGACCCGCGGCAAGAGGCGCTGACCGCGTGGGAAGAACACCGCTGTTCTTAAGTGTGCGCCCACTTACAAATGTCATTTTGGAAAGACACGCAGGAATACTTTCAGCTTTGGATTATGTGAGATGGTCTACAGCCTCAGTCCCGGGTCTACAGCCTCAGTCCCGGGTCTACAGCCTCAGTCCCGGGTCTACAGCCTCAGTCCTGGATCTACAGCCTCAGTCCCAGGTCTACAGCCTCAGTCCCGGATCTACAGCCTCAGTCCCGGATCTACAGCCTCAGTCCCAGGTCTACAGCCTCAGTCCCAGGTCTACAGCCTCAGTCCTGGATCTATAGCCTCAGTCCTGGATCTACAGCCTCAGTGCTGGATCTACAGCCTCAGTCCTGGATCTACAGCCTCAGTCCTGGGTCTACAGCCTCAGTCCTGGATCTACAGCCTCAGTCCTGGGTCTACAGCTTCAGTCCTGGACCAATGGCTCTTATGTTTGTTATAATTTGCCTTTCCTGTGTTGAACAGTCTTGATTCTCTGATCCGTTTCTACTCCTCAGAGTCTGGAGCTAAAACACATTAAATCCTGCTGTGTCCAGTTAAAACTGTCTCTTGGCTTCGTCCATCAGCTGCTGGTTCAGTGTGACATCAAAACTTGTTTATACACAACAATTAGACACATACTGTAAGGGATAAAACAGCAACAGTCCAGAGGATAACCATCTCCTGTCCATAGCAGTAAGTCATAATTATTTATAAAGCGCATTTTTATAGACCAAAAGTCCAGATGTTGTTTCATTCTCTCCACACGGTGAGGACTGAAGCAAGACGCAGAACACATCTATGTCCCCGACCAACTCCATTCACTCAATCAGTACGTTCAGACATATTGTGCATGTTTTTTGTGGTAGAGGAAACCGGAGCACCTGGAGGAAACCTATGCATACACAGGAAGAACATGAAAACTCCACTCAGAAAGGCCCTTTTCAGAATCAGAATATTTTGTATTGCCACGTAAGTAACAGGAAGTCAGAGACTTGGAAATTGCTTTGGCAATTTCTGACCGGGGATCAAACTCAGGACCTTCTTGCTGTGTGCTAACCACTCAGCCACCGTGTCGTCCATAGGGTTAGTCCTCTGCGCCTCCTGCCATTTCTGAACGAGTCCGAAGCAGAAGACTTTTCCGGAGCCGCGTCTCGTGCAGCGTTGTATTTTTATCCTCTGGGGAGTTGGTTTCCACGGCTACCCTTGTTTGGTCTGTCATTTTCCCTTCACGTCGTCTCAGCAGAAGTGGCAGCGCGGAGGAGGACAGACTTTATCTCGTGATAAAGGTTAAACTCCACTCGCTGGAGTTGAACAGTCGCTGCGGCTTTGAACGGTGATGAGGAACCTTCTGGAACTCGCCGCGAGAATCGTAAATAATACAGGATCATGTTTACTCAACGCCAATGCTCTTCTAACGTATCGCTCATGCCATATTTAAATGACTTATGACAGCTACAGATCTACCCTGGTCTTACCACACCATTGTACTCATTTCATTCTGCACTAAGGTCTGGATTTGCTCCATTGACTCCGTTAACAGGTGGGAGGGGCTAACTCCTTTTGCAGATTGAAACCATTGGATCTAAGTTTACTGTGACGTATGTAATGAGCCTAAGTGAGTGAGGCATTTAGCATTCAGCCTCGCTTTAGCATTTAGCCTGACATTTGCTTGCTCGGGCTTCAGTTTCTTGATATTTGGATTGAACCAGAACAGATTATTTTACTGTCGCATTCTCCGACAAACTACAACCAGCAAATTCAGCACAAACTCTTGACGTCACCGACACCGACCTACAACACCCGCCTCCCCCGCTCTCTGATTGGTCGGATTCAACCGAGGAAACTGCAGCCACTAGGATCAGACCCAGACGTACATGTAGGAAATGATCACGGACCAGAGTTTACACATGGTAAGACCAGACGTACATGTAGGAAATGATCATGGACCAGAGTTTACACATGGTAAGACCAGACGTACATGTAGGAAATGATCATGGACCAGAGTTTACACATGGTAAGACCAGACGTACATGTAGGAAATGATCATGGACCAGAGTTTACACATGGTAAGACCAGACGTACATGTAGGAAATGATCATGGACCAGAGTTTACACATGGTAAGACCAGACGTACATGTAGGAAATGATCATGGACCAGAGTTTACACATGGTAAGACCAGACGTACATGTAGGAAATGATCATGGACCAGAGTTTACACATGGTAAGACCAGACGTACATGTAGGAAATGATCATGGACCAGAGTTTACACATGGTAAGACCAGACGTACATGTAGGAAATGATCACGGACCAGAGTTTACACATGGTAAGACCAGACGTACATGTAGGAAATGATCATGGACCAGAGTTTACACATGGTAAGACCAGACGTACATGTAGGAAATGATCATGGACCAGAGTTTACACATGGTTAGACCAGACGTACATGTAGGAAATGATCATGGACCAGAGTTTACACATGGTAAGACCAGACGTACATGTAGGAAATGATCATGGACCAGAGTTTACACATGGTAAGACCAGACGTACATGTAGGAAATGATCATGGACCAGAGTTTACACATGGTAAGACCAGGGTAATACAAATCTGACGAATGGCCATTAATTACTGGACACAAACACATAATTCTAACCCACTGTTCAAACATTTAGGGGACCTGAAACTGCAGGACTGGTCTCTGCACCTACTGAACAAAACTTAGTCACACTTCAGTTTAGCCATCACTAATTAATGTAGGTTTTTTTGGCTATTGAGCGATTAATTGTTATTCATTAAGCCCTTATTAGTCCATATTCTACGTGGCCTTTTTCAACATATAACTAACTACGAACGGACACGTTCCCGTGTGGGTTAGAGTTAGGGTTAAGGTTTGAGTTAGGGTTAGGGCAGACTAATTAGCACTTAATTATCAGTTCATTGGTGAAGGCTAATCTAAAGTGTGACACGATAGATACTTAATTACAGACGAAGAGGAAACAGAAAAGTGCCAGAATTTAGACCTAGTATAAAATGTCTCAGTGTGTAGAGTAATATCTAAGAATATTCAAGTGTGTTTGGCCCAGAGTGTGTGTCGTGTTTTTTCCAATATATTTTCTGTGCATTTTTAAACTGATACAACTACCACTGCCCCCATCTGTCTCATCCGTGTGCTTGGAGACAGAGTGCACACAGGGATATTGCACAACACTGGGTCTGGATGAAGACATGACACAAACGTCTAAAGTGAAACCTTCATTCTCTGCCAGGAAACCAAAGCCACATGTATCGAGAGCTTTGAAAATGCAGAACTGAGCACAAACATGAAGCCTTTAGCCGTGGACTGAAACATGGAGCTGCAGAGGATACAGCACTGACGGACACAAGCAGGACTGAGAGCTATGGGCAGAGAGACCAGAGTGAGACCAGAGTGAGACCAGAGTGAGACCAGAGTGAGACCAGAGTGAGACCAGGGAGAGACCAGAGAGAGACCAGAGAGAGACCAGAAAGAGAACAGAGAGAGACCAGAGTGAGACCAGGGAGAGACCAGAGAGAGACCAGAGAGAGACCAGAGTGAGACCAGAGAGAGACCAGAGAGCAACAAGAGACAAGAGACAACTATTCGATCAAGTCGTTTTGAGAAATGATGATACTGCACGAGACACATGGATCGCTGGGATCAGTGTCTCTGTGGCTTTGGAACAAAGTGAAGAGACGTCAGAGCAGATTGAAGAGAGAGAAGTGCTCATACTACATTACATACACTGTACTGTACCATCTGCACGTGTTTACCCAGCACTGTTCCAAAACAGGCTCCTAAATACAAAGTGACAGGTATATTTTTAATCTCTGGTTTCACACAACCCACACACTCACTCACTCGCGGCACACGGAGGAGAAGCAGCCAGAGAAGTGGATGTACGGGAGGGAGGACAAGGCGATGGGGAGGCGTCAGATGGACTCCAGACCAGACTCGGCTCTGAGAACATTCTCCTCATGTTAGTTACCACAGTCTGTTAGGATTCTGTAACCTCAGTTCAATTCAATTCAAGCCCGTTTACTCTCATTGCCCTAAATCCTATCAGTAGTTATCTCACTGGCTTTACAAAGAGAAACAAACAGTTCAAACCCAAGAAATGAAATGATAGAAAACACAGAGCCATTGGTCCAAAAGAAGCAGAGACCAATGTCCGTAAATGTCGTTGAACGTGGAGTGTCCTGGATCATCACCACTGTCTTTAGACTCTCCTGCATCAGCAAAGGAACAACTAAAACCCAGTGGGAGATCGGGCTGTAGATCCAGGACTCGGGCTGTAGATCCAGGACTCGGGCTGTAGATCCAGGACTCGGGCTGTAGATCCAGGACTCGGGCTGTAGATCCAGGACTCGGGCTGTAGATCCAGGACCAAGGCCACGTGGTGCAGGGTTCTCTCACCTATTATGCAGACTTCTCAGAGTTTAACCATATTCCAAGATTCCCGAATCATAAACAGACCTGCTGTTTGTTTAGTTCCATCCATACTAATATTGACGACTCCTGGGACCCACATACTACAAGACTACATATTTTTGCCTTTTTAATTTTTAAGATTAGGAAAAAACACTGAACTGACTTGCCCTTATTGACTTAAGGCCTTTGTATTTGCATTCAGATCTACAACCTTGATGTGTGTGTGTTGGATCTTCCAAAAATGCAGAGTCCAGACTGATTTCGCAGCCCTGATTTTCACGGAATAAAAGTGGATCTTTGCTCAGCCACCGCAGCAGTGTAAAACGCAGGGGAAATAGGCCAATCGGGCTGAGAGCGATGCGAGTGCTACAGAGAGAGCAGAGGTGAGCGGGAGTGCACTAGGGCTGTGTGTGTGTGTAAGTGTGTGTTAGTATGTGTGTGTAAGTGTGTGTCTGTAAACCAGGATGAGCCGCCTAAATCCACACTTGAAAGACTGGGCTCACCCACGCTCCGCTCTCTCATCTCTCCGCCGCAGTCGCCCCGGGGCAGGGTTCAGACAGACGGGCAGGGTTCATGTGCCGTGGGGCAGGGGAGAGCTCGGCGGGTCGAAAAGGGGAAGGAAGAGATGTGATAACTGCCGGAGTAAGTGTGTGTTTTAGCAGACTCTGGCTTTAAGAGGGTGTAGCGCATGTGCAGAGAGGTGGAACCACTGCAGATGCGGGAACTGGCCTCGCCCAATTAAATGTAACACTCAGAAGGTGTTGCTTCACTGTGTTTGCCAAAGTGTGCTCAAAGGATAAGACAGGAGGTCTGTATGTATACTGAGACAGGAGAGGTCTGTATGTATACTGAGACAGGAGAGGTCTGTATGTATACTGAGACAGGAGAGGTCTGTATGTATACTGAGACAGAGGTCTGTATGTATACTGAGACAGGAGAGGTCTGTATGTATACTGAGACAGAGGTCTGTATGTATACTGAGAGAGGTCTGTATGTATACTGAGACAGGAGAGGTCTGTATGTATACTGAGACAGAGGTCTGTATGTATACTGAGAGAGGTCTGTATGTATACTGAGACAGGAGAGGTCTGTATGTATACTGAGACAGGAGAGGTCTGTATGTATACTGAGACAGGAGAGGTCTGTATGTATACTGAGACAGGAGAGGTCTGTATGTATACTGAGACAGAGGTCTGTATGTATACTGAGAGAGGAGAGGTCTGTATGTATACTGAGACAGGAGAGGTCTGTATGTATACTGAGACAGGAGAGGTCTGTATGTATACTGAGACAGGAGAGGTCTGTATGTATACTGAGACAGGAGAGGTCTGTATGTATACTGAGACAGGAGAGGTCAGTATGTATACTGAGACAGGAGAGGTCTGTATGTATACTGAGACAGGAGAGGTCTGTATGTATACTGAGACAGAGGTCTGTATGTATACTGAGACAGAGGTCTGTATGTATACTGAGACAGAGGTCTGTATGTATACTGAGACAGAGGTCTGTATGTATACTGAGACAGAGGTCTGTATGTATACTGAGACAACAGAGGTCTGTATGTATACTGAGACAGGAGAGGTCTGTATGTATACTGAGACAGAGGTCTGTATGTATACTGAGACAGAGGTCTGTATGTATACTGAGACAGAGGTCTGTATGTATACTGAGACAGAGGTCTGTATGTATACTGAGACAGAGGTCTGTATGTATACTGAGACAGAGGTCTGTATGTATACTGAGACAACAGAGGTCTGTATGTATACTGAGACAGGAGAGGTCTGAGTCAGTCTGAGTGCGCACACACACACAAACTCATATTGACATTTAAATTAGCCGTTTGCTACCAGGTCGGACTGGGGCTATTGAGTCATTGCGCATTAAAAGTCCAACCGTCATGTGGTCAGCAGCTGAAGGTCAGTGACGTACGCGCTCCCTCTGCTGAGACTCACCAGGGTCTGAGGACTGACATGGAAACAGTATGTGGACATTTAGGTCCCTCTCCATGGGGGGCCACCACTGTCTTCTGGCTCGTAATCATCCAAAGCAGGAAATGAAATTGAGATTTTAAATTTTTGCCATATCGCCCAGCCCCAACCCAGAGGCTACTCCACCTTGTGAGCCGTCCTGCTCCACCCAGAGGCTACTCCACCTTGTGAGCCGTCCTGCTCCACCCAGAGGCTACTCCACCTTGTGAGCCGTCCTGCTCCACCCAGAGACTACTCCACCTCTGCTGCTGTGACATGAACGGCTGTTGCTGATAATTACTATTGTTAGCTTTTTAGAATGATAATGGTTTTAATTGCTGCTAATGGACACCTGAATTCTCCTATGGGGATCAATAAAGTATCTATCGCTTCATCTTATCTCTCACACACCCGTCCCTCTCTCTCTCTCTCTCTCTCTCTCGTCTCTCCCTCTCTCTTCTGTCCCTCCATTAAGTTTATATCACAACTACATTCTTGCTATAACACCTACATTACCACTAGGGGAGTGACCATGTTGACGATGTCGCGATGCTAATAGTATTGCATCTTGAGGGTCCCGGGTCCTTATCTGGTCCTTGGTCCTTCACTCCTTCAAACCAGAGTCTTGGTGAGAGTTGTCTGGCTTCACGTTTGGAAACTCCCTGCGCTCTCTTTGCTCAAAGTTAAAATTGCTTTGTTCTCTGCAAATCAGGTCAATAAAATCATAACTGAGCGTTTCATGTAACTGGGTCAGACCATGTCCTTGCTGTTTTTAATCGGGGAGAATGCAAAACTCCCATTAATAGAACTATTTTTAATCCGAGTGTGCGCGGCCAGGCGGACCGTCGAGCCTCGAGTGTCCGACGTGTGCCTCAGCTGCCGGGCCACCTGGTCACCGTACGCCACCGACACACCTGATGCCAAAACCGGGAGCGGAAGCACGGTCAGCGGTGAGGGCCCTGCACAACCTGTTCAGAGAGCTAAATATGGAAGAGCAGCAGAGAGGTGGCCACAGCCCTCTCCAAAACACCTCACGTCCACCACCGGAATACTGCGTGTGTGTGTCGTTTCAAGGGCTGTATTTCCTTTTTAATTTAATGTATCTGAAATAAAGGTAAATAATAATACTAAAACCCACAATGAAGGCATCCACTTAGAATCAGGGCTAACCACAACAGATAAAAACAATGATCGGGACCAGTTTAACCGTCGCTCCCTGTACTAACTACCTGCACAGGTAGCTACAGGGAGCTACTGGGAGCTACAGGGACATTAGCTCTCCTGCTGCAACCAATGCATCTCTCCTATTGGCTCATGTTCATTGGTCTCTGTAAATATGTCAATCAAACCATCAATCAAACCACTGAATTCGCCAAAACAAACTATACACATGAAGCAAGGTCAGCATTTTCTATCACAGGATACATCCACCAACATCTGTTCCAGTCAGAACAGAGGAGCACAGGGACTGGCCTCCTGCTGGGACTCTGAGGACACAGGGACTGGGAGAGAAAAACCAGAGAGAAAGAGAAAGAGAGAGAGAAAGAGAGGGATATAGAGACCAGAGACATATAGAGAGCAGATAAAGAGAGGCCACAGCAAAAGAGAGACTTTAGAGAGAGAGAGAGAAAGAGAGCGGCCTCCTGCTGGTGCCCAGAGTCAGGACTAAACATGGAACAAAACCTTGCCATCTCTTTCTTTTCCACCAAAACTTCTTCACAACTGGTGCCAGCACCATGAAGCAGACGGACCATACTGTGGACTACAACGAGCTGCAGCCTGGACCCAGACCTCTGTGACTCCGGGTCCACAGGTCGGAGCAGAGCCGCCGGCGTGTGTGGGACTCACCGCGGGCACCAGCAGCTTCTTGACCTCCTCCACGGCTCTCCTCATCTTGATCTCGGCCCTGCCCTGGGTGTCCTCCACGCTGATGAGCACGTGCAGGTCCTCGTTTAGGTGCTCCCAGTTGGGCTTGCCTCGGTTCTGCTCCTCCTGGACAAACACACAAGGGTTTCAATGAAACTATATTTACTTTACTTTACTTTACTATATATTGCATGTTTATTGTCTATGTTTTGTATTGTAATTAACTCTGCTATGTATTTTAATTGTATTTTTGATTGTATAAGGACTACAGATGGAAATTAGCATTGTGCTAAATCTGGGGCAGCCATCTTTTTAATGTACCTGTCCGTTGTCCTTTTAAATAAATAACTAACTAACTAACTAACTGAAGGAGGAGGAGGAGGCACGGCAAAACAACAGAGATTCATTCATTCATAATGCAAATATATTTATACCACCAAATATTCGATTCAGTGTGATTGTGTGTGACCCTAAATCACAACAGCAGTCGAACAGGAAATGTAAAAATAATAAACACATAGGAGCCAGCGGTCCATAGAGAGCGGAACGAGCACAGTCCAAAATGTTAAACGCTCTACGTCATCACTGTCCTTACTCCTGCCTCAACAAGTAAGTAAGTAAGTAAGTAATGTTTATTTATATAACAAGGAACTACAAAACATACACAACGCACTAGTCGTGTTAGTGGAGTTTTCCCGGTGTCTGGATGGGTTCCCGAGGACACTACACCCCCCAAAGACAGGTCCATAACCAAAAAGTTATGGGACTGAGTGCATTACTCCGGCCATGTCAGGTTGTTAGCAAATATTTACCACACTTTCTGTGCAACAAGGAGCACCTTTATATAAACCACATCTGCATTCTGAAAGACAATCTACGTTGTCCACATACAGGCCACACCTGATTATAAGCTGCAGGTTTTCATGTTGTAATGTAGCAGAGAGATGACTGATTTAACTGGTCACATGATTTAATGATGATTTAACACCTTTCAATATAGTTTCTACTCATTCACTATTTTGACAAACAACTGTTGTCCTCTAGCTACTAAAAATTAATGGATTAATTATTGTAACTCTGAGAAATATATGTATTTGTATTGTATTGTCTCTATCTCTGCGGTCCCCCCCCCTCTCTCTGCGGTCCCCCCCTCTATCTCTGCGGTCCCCCCCTCTATCTCTGCGGTCCCCCCCTCTATCTCTGCGGTCCCCCCCTCTATCTCTGCGGTCCCCCCCTCTATCTCTGCGGTCCCCCCCTCTATCTCTGCGGTCCCCCCCTCTATCTCTGCGGTCCCCCCCTCTATCTCTGCGGTCCCCCCCCTCTATCTCTGCGGTCCCCCCTCTCTCTGCGGTCCCCCCCTCTATCTCTGCGGTCCCCCCCTCTATCTCTGCGGTCCCCCCCTCTATCTCTGCGGTCCCCCCCTCTATCTCTGCGGTCCCCCCCTCTATCTCTGCGGTCCCCCCCTCTATCTCTGCGGTCCCCCCCTCTATCTCTGCGGTCCCCCCCTCTATCTCTGCGGTCCTCCCCTCTATCTCTGCGGTCCCCCCCTCTATCTCTGCGGTCCCCCCCTCTATCTCTGCGGTCCCAGGAAAAACATGCATAAAGCCCAACTCTCACTAAAACAGATCCTAAGCCTGAGTTCAGCATTTTACATTGAAAAGTTCTGGACTAATCAGGGACCATTTGAGTTTCCAGTTTTGCCCGTGTCCAGCAGAGCGGAGCTGGGGTGGTGAGGGCTGATGGATGGGTGTGGATTGTGCAGCGGTGGCACTTTTGGTCCACTCTGCTCCTCGTGTCACAGCGACGACCCGCCAACACATCCATATCCCAGAGAGATGAGCGGGGAGCGGCCCGGACAGAGACGGATGGGCCGGGGCCAGGGCGGAGTCACGTCTACTGGGCCTCAAGGAAATCCATGTACACGGCATTAGGAAAGACCAGACTACCGTAATCTCCGGACTATAAGGCTTGTTCTGCGGCTTGTATAGCGACGCGGCTGATATGTGTTTTTTATCATGGTGGAGTTGAGCTGTTGTCCGAGAGGACTTTACAGATTTATTCTTGTGACTTAATTTTAGTTTTAGAAGCAACAGTGGTTGTCAGTTGTCAAAATAGATTAAGGTGAATGGTACCAGTAGAGAACACTTCATCAGTAAATCATGTCCGTCTGGTCTCTCATCCATCCCTCCGGTCTCTCTCCCCCTCTCCGGTCTCTCTCTCTGGCATGTGTGAGTACACTTTTACAGCCCTAAAACAAACAGCTGCTACTGAAAATAATTTTAGAACACATTACCCCTGTCATAAACCAGGGACCAGTGTCACATTTTTCCGTCATCAAAAACCAACCTAGAGTTGTTTTTAGCTCCATCAATGCTAGGTTTGAATGTTTATTAAAAACTCTGCTTCCAGTTATAGATAATAACCACTGACACAAACAAGGGAATAATAGTCAAACCTCCGGCCTAGTTTGAGTAAAATAAGAACCCCAACAACACATCAGTACTCGGATACAGGAGCCAGGTCTGTGGAGAGGCGAGGCCGCTGGGTGAAAGGTGCGCAGTCCAGAGTTTTAGCATCGCTTTCCTGATGACAGTGTTCAGGTTTCCTCAGAGCAGCTGGAGGAGCCTCAGGACACGTGTCAGGACGTCCTGCAGGGTCCGGGATGGATGTGGACTAATTATCCCCATCACAGGAGCCAGACGGGCCCCTCTGTGTGTGTGTGTGTGTGTGTGTGTGTGTGTGTGTGTGTACCTGTGTGTGTGTGTGTACCTGCGTGCTCACCCTGTAGTTCCCACAGCAGGAGGCGAGCTCGGGTCATGCTCCCCTCTCTCGCCTCATTAGCCAAAGTCAATTCTATTAATATTAACAGATTTATTCTGCATTTTTAATGTTTTGTTATTGGCCTTTACACGTGCTCTGGAGCAGTGCCGGCACAAGAGTTTCAGGGGCCCGGAGCTGCAGTGACTCCAGGGGACCCAGGCTCTATGGCTGAATGCTGCGTCTCACTTTGTGGCAGTCTTGGCGGCTGTGGCGTTGGTCAGAGGAGCAGTATCTGGCAGGTTGCAGCTGCTGTTGATTGATGAACACATGTCGGTCCTGAAGAGCTGGACACTGAACTCTGCAGAACCTTCTCCATAAGTCCATGTGATCCGGTTCTGTGTCCACGGGGATGTTCCGATTCCAGACATTTTACGTCATTGTTACAGAGAGTGCGTGTGTGTGTGTGCGCAAGTAAGGTAGGTGTGTGTGTGTGCGCATGTAAAGTGTGTATCCGCCTGCTGAGTGTGTGTGTGTTACCGCTGTATATGTATCTCTATGTCCCTGAATCGTGTGTGTGCCTCTTTGTGTCAGGTGTGTGTGTGTGAGCGTGTTAGATGTGTGCGTGTCTCAGGTAGCCCTGCGTGTGCATGTGTGCGTGCGTGCGTGCGTGTGTGTGTGCGTGTGTGTGTGTGTGTGTGTGCGTGTGTGTGTGTGCGACAGGACAGAGCCGTGTGTGGGGGAAAGGCTCCGGAGCTCGGTCCACATCTTAAAAAGGTCACTGCTTTCAAACGATGGATCGGTGAAATACGAACGAAGAAGAGGAAGAGGAGCAACACTAACCCTTTCCCTCTCTCTCCTCCCTCCTCCTCAGTCTGCGATGCCCTAAATTATTCCAAAGTGGTTTTACTGCAAATCAACTGAATCTGAATTGGTTTCTGATGGCCTCAGTCTCTCCCTCTCCTCTCTCTCTGATGGCCTCAGTCTCTCCCTCTCCTCTCTCTCTGATGGCCTCAGTCTCTGCCTCTCCCTCTCCTCTCTCTCTGATGGTCTCAGTCTCTCCCTCTCCTATCTCTCTGATGGCCTCAGTCTCTGCCTCTCCCTCTCCTCTCTCTCTGATGGCCTCAGTCTCTCCCTCTCCTCTCTCTCTGATGGCCTCAGTCTCTCCCTCTCCTCTCTCTCTGATGGCCTCAGTCTCTCCCTCTCCTCTCTCTCTGATGGCCTCAGTCTCTCCCTCTCCTCTCTCTGATGGCCTCAGTCTCTCCCTCTCCTCTCTCTCTGATGGCCTCAGTCTCTCCCTCTCCTCTCTCTGATGGCCTCAGTCTCTCCCTCTCCGCTCTCTCTGATGGCCTCAGTCTCTCCCTCTCCACCCTCTCTGATGGCCTCAGTCTCTCCCTCTCCTCTCTCTGATGGCCTCAGTCTCTCCCTCTCCGCTCTCTCTGATGGCCTCAGTCTCTCCCTCTCCACCCTCTCTGATGGCCTCAGTCTCTCCCTCTCCTCTCTCTGATGGCCTCAGTCTCTCCCTCTCCACCCTCTCTGATGGCCTCAGTCTCTCCCTCTCCTCTCTCTGATGGCCTCAGTCTCTCCCTCTCCGCTCTCTCTGATGGCCTCAGTCTCTCCCTCTCCTCTCTCTGATGGCCTCAGTCTCTCCCTCTCCGCTCTCTCTGATGGCCTCAGTCTCTCCCTCTCCTCTCTCTGATGGCCTCAGTCTCCCCCTCCCCGTCCTCCAGAACAGACCCATCGTCTTCATGGGCTGTGGCAGCTTCGGTCTCTGTGGACCTGGCGCCCGCATTAACGCTTACATTCAAATCAACAACAGGTGCAAACATAATTAAATCCTGGAGCAGGGTAAGCGCTGCAGAAGTGCTGATTGGCCAGTCCCCAGTGCCCTCCGCAGATCTGGCAACGCTTCATAGCTTAATGCAATATTGTTGATCAATGCTTTCGCTGACGGAACAGGTTTGGCTTTTTGAAATCTTCACGCCGCGCTCTCCATAAAGAGCATTGTCCTCTCCGTCTGCTCATTAAGGACTATTGGAAAATCAATACGGCTCCGGTGGATTAAACGCGGGAGTAACACGCGTTCTGAAATTAGAAGCGCTCAGTCTGGTTCTCCCTCACACACGAGGAACCAGGAAATAAACGACTCAGGGCTTTTGAGAAGGTCGTGTTTGTTCTGCTGCGACGCCCGAGTGTCAACGTTTATGATTGTGGCAAAGATACTGAAGGAGAAAGAAGGTCGTGGTCATAGTTAACTCTAGGATTCACTATGACCTCTAGGATCGCTCCCATTCAAACCAATGTTGAGAAATTCCCAATATTTTAAGGTTTTTTTAATCTTCACTCACTTTTAATAAGTGTTAAAAGAG